ATCTACTTCCCAGAGCTGGAGCTGGGGACCTAGTATGAGGTCCCTATAAGCGCTTATTTAGCACAGTAATGGTTAGCTGCTATGATCTGGGGGCCACAGGAGGCAGGCAGGTGTGGTGGACAGGTCAAGTGGGTGACACCTAGCTTCACTGTCCAGGGTATGAGGAAGTCGTCTGGATCCCCAAGGGCTCCATCCACATTTTCATCCAGGACCTGAACCTCTCCCTCAGTCACCTAGGTAAGCTGGAGGGCAGAAGCAGAGGGCTGGGGGTCACCTTGGCTGAGATTCTGAACCCTGTGCTGTCTCTCAGCCCTAAAGGGAGACCAGGAGTCCCTGCTGCTGGAGGGGATGCCCGGGACTCCTCAGCCACACCGCCTGTCCCTGGCTGGGACCACCTTTCAGCTGCGACCAGGCCCAAATCAGACACAGAGCCTAGAAGCCCTGGGACCCATTAATGCATCTCTCATTGTCATGGTAATGATGGAAGCAAAGTGCAGAGGACATCATCCTTATGGGGACTCCAAGCCTCACTTCACTTTGATGCACTCCCTCCCCATCCCAGGTGCTGGCCCACACAGAGCTGCCTGCCCTCCGCTACCGATTCAATGCACCCATTACCCGCGATGCACTGCCCCCCTACTCCTGGCACTACGCACCTTGGACCAAGTGCTCTGCCCAGTGTGCTGGAGGTGAGGCCAAGGTGGGGCCGGTTGGAGCACTAGTCACCTGACCTTCTGGATAGGGCAGGGCTGAGCAGGCCTCTCACCCACCCCCAGGTAGCCAGGTGCAGGCCGTGGAATGCCGCAATCAGCTGGACAGCTCAGCCGTGGCCCCCCACCATTGCAGTGCCCACAGCAAGCTCCCCAAGAGACAGCGCGCCTGCAACACAGAGCCCTGTCCACCTGAGTGAGTACCCACCAGTGTGCAGGGTCACAGAGACAAGTACTGCAGTGGCCTTGCTGCTGAGATCAGAGGAGTGAGTGGTGCCAGGATTGGGATGACAGTGTTCCCCAAGGTCAGGTCTGGGCTCTCCTGAAATCAGAGTCAGTACTCCTAGTCAAGTGCAACTTAGCCACCTCCTCTTGGGGTGATGTGTCTTCCCACCCCAGTGTGGACACATGGAGATGATGTTCCAAGTACAGGCTTCCAACTCGGTGCCCATCTCTATAGCAATGCTGGTTGCTGGGCAGGAGGATGATATGCTAGTGCCCCAGGGTCAGGGTGCCCTGCTCTATACTCTCAGACCCCCGTGTCCCCCACAGCTGGGTTGTGGGAAACTGGTCACACTGCAGCCGCAGCTGTGATGCGGGCGTGCGCAGCCGCTCTGTTGTGTGTCTGCGCCGCATGTCGGCTGCGGAGGAGAAGACGCTGGATGATAATGCGTGCCCACAGCCGCGCCCACCCATCCTGGAGGCCTGCCATGGCCCTGCCTGCCCGCCGGAGTGGACCGCCCTTGACTGGTCGGAGGTCAGCCACCCCTTCCCACCTTTGCCCAAGCCACTCGTACAGCGCAGGGCAGGACCTGGGTGCTGAGTGCCCGCTGAGGTACCGTCCCACCTCCGTAGTCACCAGCCCCTTTCGCTAGCCCTAATGGACCATCCTGGACTGGTCCAAAGTTAGCCAGCCCCTCCTTGCCATCCACTGGACCAGCAGCATCCTCCCCACTTCCTCTGCGTGTGGAGTCAGGAGCGGGCAGGCCCACTGAGCATGAAACGCCCCCTCCGACTGCAGTGCACCCCCAGCTGCGGGCCGGGCCTCCGCCACCGCGTAGTCCTTTGCAAGAGTGCAGACCACCGCGCAACACTGCCCCTCGCCCACTGCTTGCCTGCAACCAAGCCACCAACCACCATGCGCTGCAACTTGCGGCGCTGCCCCCCTCCTCGCTGGGTGGCAGGAGAGTGGGGCGAGGTAGGTGGGTGCCCCTGGGGGGTGGAAGCCAGGACAGGAGCGGCTGTGCAGTGGCTCATCCAAGATGCCCCACAGTGCTCCGTGCAGTGCGGCCTCGGGCAGCAACAGCGCTTGGTGCGCTGCTCCAGCCATACCGGCCAACCATCACGGGAGTGCACCGAGGCCCTGAGGCCACCTACCACGCAACAGTGTGAGGCCAAGTGCGACAGCACACCCCCTGGGGACAGTCCTGAAGGTATGTGGGGCAGGAGGCCAAGGGGTAGCAGGAGAGTCCTGTCCAGAGGAAGCCACAGGAGAGTGTGGGGGTCCTGACCATGGGCCAGAATCCTTCCCAACCACTGAATCCTTTTTTGTCTCCTGCAGGCCAGTGTCACTGTCCCCTCCCTGCAGACATTTATTTTATTAAGTGCCACTGTGTGCCAGCATTTTAGGCACCTGATCCTTTTGGGGGCCCAAACTTGGGTCACTCCCCCAGCCACCTCCATGACCTTCGACTTATTCACCTCCACCAATAGCATTATTTTCCTACTATTCTTTCTTTAAATCAGAGTTTTTAACCTGTAGTATAATTGCTGTCCTGGGCCACATGATTCTTTGTCGTGGGGCTGTCCTGTGCATTGCAGGATATTTAGCAGCATCCCTGACCTGCACCCCCGCAGATGCCAGTAGGATCCCTCTCCACCAGTGGGGCCGGACATCGCCAAATATCCCGTGGGGTGGGGCAAAGTCACATCCCCTAGAGAACTGCTGCTTTAAGTATGCCCTTTTTTTTTTCTATTTAAGTAAACTTTTTCGTAGTAATAGATTACTTACGGGGGCACAGGAACCAAACTGCCTGGGTTCATCTTCCACCTCTTGCCCTCGTTTTCTCCTCTGTCAGGGAGTAAAAAAAATATAGTCACTTGAGAGCGTGCTGCATTACAGGGATGGAATAAAATAATCCATGTGAAGCCCAGGGGCCCCAAGACTGATTCCCACCCTGCTCCCACCCTCTGCAGAGTGCAAAGATGTGAACAAGGTCGCCTACTGCCCTCTAGTGCTCAAATTTCAGTTCTGCAGCCGAGCCTACTTCCGCCAGATGTGCTGCAAAACCTGCCATGGCCGCTAGGGGGCGCGCGGACCCCTGAGGCACAACTGAGCACCGGCTTGGGAGGGGCTCCGGGGCGGGTTGCAGTTGGCCAGCCTGAAGGAGTGCGAGGGCAGGAGCTGGAAATGAAGGGTTGAGATGGAGCCGGAAGTTATTTATTGGAAACCCCTGCAAAGCCCCAGGCTGGAAAATAGAATGGGGCTGACCATCCCCCAGGGCCCCTCCTCAGCCCCTTTCCCGCTTCACAGTGAGACCCCCTCCAGAGTGGGTTGGAGGAGGGAACAACTGTTTGACTTAGCACCCTTTTCACCCACCCCTAGGGAGTCCCCAAAACTCCTCCATCTTTGATCGGAATACATACTGTGAAGAGTGGGGATGGGAAAGGGAGTCAGCCTGTGTCCTGACCCCCAGCACTGGCCTATCCCTTCACTCTGGGCTGGAGGGGGTCTGTGTCCTCCATGGGGGAAAGGGGATTAGCACCACCTCCCTGATACCCTTCTCCTGACCACACCAGCTACAGGGGTGGGTTAGAGGTGGGAAGGCCACTCCTACCTTTGCCTGTCCCAGGGGACCCAATATCCAGGCAGCCCTGTCCTGGTGCTGCAGGCCCTGCCCTGGGGCCCACAAACCCCTTGCCAGGAAGTGCTACATCAATAAAGCTCTGTCTTGTGTAGATTTCCGCACGTGGAATGTGTGTGTCCCTGCCCCAGACTGGAAGCAGCCCCAGAAGCCTGGAAGGGGGCTTTTACCAATTCAGACTAGAGCCCAGTGACCTTAGGACAGATATACAGCTTCCTGCAGAGGCTCTTGAAGCCTCAGGGTCTGGCACCTGCCATCCTAGCCATCACATTCCTGGTCCTTCCACAAGCTCCAGCGTGCCTGCTTTTGCTTGAGTTGTTTCCTCAGCCAGCTGTGCCCTTCCCTTCCTTTTTCACCTGGTCAACTCCAACTTACCCTGCAGTCTCAGCACAAGGTTGCCTTCTCCCAGAAGCCTTCCCTTGTGCCCCAAGAGGTGGAGGTCCTCCTGCTGCCTGCTATTTACTCTGAGTGCCTGGAGGCATTTGCTGAGGTTTGCAGGTGCCAAACCAATCCCATGGCCCATGTTCCCAGCAAGAGTCCCAGGGGGAAGGGAGTGCCTTCTCGTCTGTGGCTATGAAGGGGCAACAGGCTCTGGCACCCCCAAGATAGGATGCTGTGCAGCCCTGGACCACAGGGGTAACCCAGCCCTCCCACCTCCCTGCCAGGCTTTCCCAGGGTCTAGGCTGCTGCCTCCACTACCTCCTCACTCTGTGGCACAGTGAGGTGACAACCTCTCAGAACTGCCATTTCTTCAAATATCCAGAGGAGACCAGTACATCGTGGTCTGCTGATCTCCCGAAGGTCAGGCCATGAGTCCACACTTGATCAATCCAGCGTGTATCAGATGCGATGGTGGGGCGGCTCGTGCCCCGTTTTATGATGAGAAAACGGGGCAGTCCTGGAAGTAGCAGAGCTGGGGGTCATTAAATTCAGAGCTGATCTGCAAAGTATGGGACCTGGCAGGGGCACCTAGCTTCTGGTCCCTCCACTCCTGTTGCCTTTCCCTGTTACACACACACACACCCACTTGCAAAGGCTGTTCTGAAGGAAGGACCAACTGAGGCTGCTCTGGAAGTAGGTGCTTGTTCAGGGATGCCCAGAGAAGGCACATGTCTGAAGTGGTTTTGCAGAGACCTGGGCGGCCCAAATGCTTCCTGGGATCACCCTGAATGGAGCGGTCAGTCCTGCAGCCAACTGACCTGTGTGTTCCTTGCTGCAGTCCCTGTCCCCAGGGAGTTGGAGAAGGGGACTTCTGGGGTCTGGCAGCAGCTGTCATCAATCCTTGACCTCTCCCTTCAGGCTCAGAGCCCCAAATAGCCAGCTCCCTCAGCTCTGCCAGCTGCAAGAGCTCTCTCCCCGCCCCCGGGGCCCAGCTTCCCTCCCCGGTAGCCGCGGGCCCCTCCCGCCAAAGGAAGTGAGAGGGGTCTGTTGTAAGAGGAACTAGGGCTGGGAGTCTGGTGAAGGAGAAGGAGCAGGGCCATGCCTGAACCACCCCCCGGAGCCCTCTGAGCCTGCACCCCTCCCACGACCCATTCAGGCACCCCCAGAAATCCAGATACCACCCCCACCATGGTAAGTCCTTCAAGGGCACGGGCCCTGAAGTGCAGGGGTAGCGGGTACCAGCCAAGTGGAGGTGTCCTGAAGGCCACCATCAGAAAGTAGAGGCATGGGGAGGGGCACAACAGTTCCTTTCAGGGTGCCTCCATGCAGGTGCCCCTAGCATCCCTCACCAGGACCAAACTCCCATCTAATGGTGGACAGGATGCCAGAATAATGGTGGGGGCCAAGAATGGAGCATAGCCCTGGCTGGGTGGCTCAGTTGGTTGGAGCATTGCCCGTACACCAAAAGTTTGCTACTAGGATCCCTGGTTAGGGCACATGCATACCTGGGTTGCAGGTTCAATCTTTAGTCAGGTGTGTACGGGAGCTGATTGATGTTTCTCTCTCACATTGATGTTTATCTCTCTCCCTTCCTCTCTAAAATCAATGAACATATCCTCTAGTGAGGATTTTTAAACATGGAGCAGTCACTGAAGGACAGAAGGTGGCCCTGAGGGATCGCACAGTGTCTGCAAGGACAGGGACATACCCCTTCCTTAGGGTGTAGGAAACCTGGTTTCCAGCTCAGCCTGGTCCCTTATCTCCCCATGCAATCTTGGGCAGGTCACTTCCCCTCTCTGGACCTCAGTTCCCACTTATGTCGTATTTGGAAATCAATCAAGATGTGGAAGGTGTTTTGGGGACCTCTCAGTTGGAACTTTAGAGGGTCTGTGGGTTCAGCCACTCTGAGTCCACACCCAGGAGAGGAAGCTGTGTCAAGGGGGGGTGGGGGGGATGGTGTAGTGACAGTGTGCCCATGCAGGTGATGGGAGGTCTTGCTGTGGCAATCACAGAAGAAGACGGCAAGTCACAGGGCTCATACCACCACAGGCACCCTTCCCTGCCAAGACAGCAGGGAGGCACTGTGGCCAAAGGCATCACTGCCTGGTCAGGCTGGGGTATAACAATGCCTGTGGTGACAGAGTGCGAGTCTGTCATGGTCATGGACTTACATCCAACAGCATCATAACACACCAAGAGAACGCCTGGGCTGGTGACAAAAGTCACCCCCTCAGCTCCATGCATCTGCAACCACTTCGGCTTTCATTTTTTGTCATTCTGTCACTGAGAACGTGTGGCCGGAACAGTCACAGAGTTCATGGTAACAACTGGGGGCTTCTTGCTGTTGCAGCAAACAGCTGCCCAAAGCAGAGACAGGAAGGCAGACCAAGAGTCAGGATAGCATTTGTGTTGCCTTAGGAAGTTAATGACAAATGGCATCATTAGCCAAGGATCATCTGCATAAATCATAACTAAGCCATCAGCTAGAGCTCTGAGCTTGGGGAAGAAATGCTTCTGAGAAGAAGCCAAGCCAGGAAGACCCAGGAGCTTAAGTGGGCAGACTTTGATCAAAAGAACACAGGAAATGATTTTCTGCTTGAGAAAAGCAACCCCTCCCAAGGAACCTGTGTGAAAAATGCTTAGTCAGCGTGTGCTTGGCTGCTGGGGTCTGGGAGGGAGAAACTCACCCCAGAGGACCATGGACAAAAAGAAGAGTGGAAGCCACCCATGAGGCCAATACCTCTGACATCTATCTGTCTGGAGGGGTGATGGTGCCAGGTAGAGTGTTGAAAGTTTCAGGAACTTTAGGAACAATGTTCACAAAGCACTTCACAGAGACGGAACATGCACCGTCACCACCACCGAGGGCGATGCTTACTCAGGGCTGGAGTCAGCAAAGGCCGTGAGCAGAGGCCACATTCTCCTTGTGGGAGAGGAGTTGCTGTTGAAAGACAGCCATTGGGTCCCCGGTGCCAGTGGTGGCGATGAGGCTGCTGCTGATCGCTGCAGGCCAGCGGTCTTACGGTTCTGTGGGCATGCGGGCCATGCAGATGGCTATTTGGGGCCAGATAGTGGGGAACACTGGTGGATGCTGGTCAGTGCTTTTGGCTGGAGGCCGGATCCATGGAATGACGGCAGTTGGTGGTCACCGTTATTCAGAGTTGAGTGACCTTGGTAGTGTTTGTTTGCTGTTGAGCATTCATTTTTTTGTTGGTGGTGGCAATCCCGGGAGCCATGCTGAGGCACGGCTGGTTTTTGAATGAGTAGTGTTGATTGCTGCTTCTGTGGAAGCTGGCTGTGTGTGGTTGCTGAAGGCTAGTGTTGTGATCCTAACGGTGGCTATTGACGGTAGTTAGTTATGGTGGGTTGCTGGTTCTGGTGAGAACGGGTGGTGTTAGTGGAGTGTGGTGCTGGGACACTGGTGGCAGAATCAGTCGCTGCTTCTGTCTGATGTTGGCTGATGGTGCTGTCATTGAGGTTATTAGCAGTGTGTTTGACTTTGGTAGTGGAGGATGGGAACAAAGGATGCATTTTGTTGTCCTTGTGTGGTGATGGTGGTGACATGAGGGTGATGGCGGTGGTTTTTAAAGTACATATATGAAGCCAAGAGACCAGCAGTGTGGCTGCTAGATCCAGGGGCAGTGGCCATAGGAAGGCTGGGGGCTGGGAGGGAATTAGAAGGAAGTACTCCAGAAGGACAAGGGTCCCCACAGGTTGGAGAATGGCCTCTGGCTAGGACAAAAGGAAGGGGGTACCCTGGGAGCCTTTGGAGATAAGAGTGTTGTCTGCACAGTGTACAAATGCAGGGTGTGGCCCCAGAACTCCACTGAGCTGGGGCAGGGCAGGACCAAGGCACAGGGCACACTTGGGGTCGTGGCAAGTCCAGAGGCTGGGGGCTGTCTTCAGCAACCACAACAGCTTCACACCTCCTCCTTGGCTGGCAACCACAGCTTGCAGGACCCTAGCAAGGAAGGAAGTGGCTGTTTTGTTTCTCTCTCCAGTCTGGGGCTCTGCTCATCACCACCCAAGGGAGGCCAGAGCAGATGGGGCAAATTGCAAAATCTCTCTCATCCAGCCCTTCCTCCTGGCTCCACACCCTGCATCTGAGGACCAACCCAGCTGCTAATGTGGCTGACAGTGGTGGGGAAAGCTAACATTTCCTCTTCACACACTTCACCTTGTTGAATCTGAGGCAGGGAGGTTAGGCCAGCTGTCGTATAACCCAAAAGTACATAGGATTTCAACTCAGTAACCCCCCAAGGTCACACTTTCAACAGCCACCTTGACATACAACCTCCTCATATGAATGAGAGGCCATTCAGAAGGGTGTACAGACCCCCACAAGCCCAGGGCCACCCATCCTGGCCCCATTGGGACCTGGACTCTCTGTTCCATGGAAGCTAGGATCCTGATGTCCCACATACATCCAAGGCCTTCCTGGCCCGTGACTCCTGCGGCCACCACCAACTCCACCTGGGAAGTTCATGCTGTAAGACCTGCCTTCCCCAGGAAGCCTTCACTGATCACCCCATCTCTCCTTACTACCAACTGATGGGGACCCACAGTCTCCCCTGGGCAACTCACTTTGCCTGCTTGGGACACTCTGAGTTCCCCTAGGCCTGGTCCCACCTACCTCCGTGCACACACAGCAGGGGCTCAGGGACTGTATCCCCTGCAGAGCTCCCTTGCCCAGCCCTGCAGAAGCCCTCCCCTGGTCACAAACAGCCCCACCCTTCTCTGGCACCAGGGAAGCCCCATCCCCAAACGCCCCTCTTCAGTCAAGGGCACCTCTCTAAAGAGCTAAAATAAGAAGGTACCTTCCCCTTCCCACTCCGGCCACCCCCAGCCCTGACTGTCTTTCACAAGAGCCTTAGCAGGTTGAGTCATGCTTGGCTTATGGTCAACTGTGACCACAACCTCTTTGTTGCACCCCCACATCCCAAAGAAGGGACTTAGGAACAAACAGTTTCAACTTGACCCATGGAGACTTGAGGGCCTCAGAGAGAGGGACACCCATGACACAGGGCAGGGGGCAGTCTCATCCCTATGATACCTCATTCATTCAGTCAGTCATTCCATAAGTATCTGTTGCCAAAGACGGACATATCCACTCCATGCTCAGGGGCCACCTGCTGCCCTTCCTGAGGTGCTCAGTGCCTCTGTTCTCTGCATTAGCCCATTGGCTCCTCTCAGTGAACCCATGCCGGAAGTTTATTATGAATTTTACATATGGGGAAACTGAGGCTTGGAGAAGTCAGGGGCCTCCTGGAGCCAACTGTCAAGCCAGGCTTCACACCCAACTGGCCCTGTGCCAAAAAGTCTTGAGCGTCCTCCCATCCACTGTGCCCACTTAAGCAAAACTCTCTCTCCCTCTACCACTCACAGCCCATGTGTCTTGTGATTACATGGAGCCAGGAGTGGATCTGGGGGTCCAGGTGCCTGGGGCAGGACTCAGGGAGAGATGGCAGGGGCTGAAAGAGGCCAAGGGCCACATAGCCAAGTCAGGGAAGTAGAGAGGGACAGGAAGAGGAACAAAGCCTTCAGAGCGGGCAGAGGCAGCCAGACACAGCCAGCCCTGCAAACTCTGACCTCTGAGAAAGGAAGTGGCCTTGAGGGTCAGCTCTGCCTAAGGGGCCCAAGAGCCTGGAAACCAGGCTGACCCAAAAGGGGAAGCCCTAAACAGGACCAAGCTTGTCCCTGCCCCATCTTCATCTTGCCCAAAGGACTCGCCCCACCACCTCTGACCCGGATCAGGCTAAGGAACGAAAGGTTTTGCTCATATTCACCCAGGTCCTCTCTTCCTGCTATATGACCTTGGAGGGTGTATGCCTGACCTCTCAGGGCCATGGTTTTCTCTTCCTCAGAGTGGACCTAATCATATGATCTCTCAACCTCAGCATATGTTGAGAGAATTAAATGAGGTAATTCAGGGAAAAACCTTAACCAGAGTCTGACACAGAATAAGTGCCCCATGGGGTGTTAACTTTCCTTGCTATCGTTGTTGTCCATTACCATAGTTACCACCCAAGGCCCCACCTCTTGAGGTCTTCAGAGAGAGAATCCACTTCCTGTCCCCTCAGCAGCTCCTACCAACCTGCATCCACACCGACTGCCACTCCTACCCCAACGGGACCACCAACACACTCTGGTCTCCCCATGTTACAAATAGGCAACATGTTCCCCTGACCCCATTTCTCCCCACAGCCCCTTTCCCTGCCCCCTTCTCAGCCAGACTGTCCCAAAGCATCCTCCACTCCTCCCGGCCTCCCCACCTGACTGATGATCCTGAGGTCACTAATGCTCTCCCTGGGGTCCCTCCCAGTCTCCAGGGAGCAAGAATGCTCTTCAGTAGCTTGTGGTGCCCTCCACGGCTCCCTACTTCTCCCAACCAGCTCTTGTCACCTGCAGGCCACCCCATTCTGACAGGCTCCCCAAAGCCCTGAAATGAAATTCACAATAAGACACACTGCCTACCATTGTTTCAGAAATCACTACAGTGATCCCCTGGAATACACTGGAGAAAGTCACTTCCAATGAACGATGTGCATAAAGACAAACTGCTCAGGCCAGTGGACCAACAAGGCCCACAGGAGCCACCAGGTGCTTGCACACACCCACGGGCATTTCCACACACTGACAGCCCCACCACAAGCTTCCAAATGCTGAACAATTCTTAGCAAATGCTGAACAAATTCCAAAATAATATCATCAGAACAAAACAAAATCTGAGCAAAATATTTTCTGTTTATAGGTAAAATCAAATTTGGTTCTAGGTTCCAAGGACTAATCATAAACAGATGTGTCACTTACATGGACACCTGCCAGGTGGGTGAAGAGCTATAGGCAGGGTGATAATCTGAATGTAAAGCTGGCTCCTGCAGCTCCCTTAAAACACCAGGCATGTCTCTATCCCCATGACAACCAAAAATGCTCCTGCCCTTCCTCATGTCCCCAGAAGCAATATGGCCCTGCTGAGAGGTCTCCAAGCCACAGACAATCAAGTCCCAGTTGCTTTGCTTGGCATGAAAGGCTCTTCAGGACCTTACTCTGGGTGGCCCCCTCCATTCATTCATGCTCTCCCTCCCTCCATCACTCATTCACTCAAATGAGCCCTGATACGTTGTTGAGCTGGGCATGGCAGGAGCCCCTCATCTCAGGAGCTTGCAAACCAGAAGATGAGGCTAATATAGGGAGTGTCCAAAACATGGATGGATCAATGGTGAAGGAAGCACAATGGGCTGTGGGAGTCCAGAGGGAGCACCTGACCGGCCTGGGTTCAGGAAGTTCTTCTTGGAGGAGTCATCCCCTGAACCAAGCCTCAAAGGACAAATGGCCATTCACCAGGCAGGAATAGTGTGAGCAGAGGGCTCAATATGTGCAAAGGCTTAGAGATAATTTAGTAAAGAACTGAAAGAGTTCTTCCCAAAGCCCTAGCTGGTGTGGCACAGTTGGTTGGAGTGTCTCCCATAACTGAGGTTATGGGTTCAATCCCTGGTGTGAGCATGTACAAGAGGCAACCAACCAATTGATGTTTTTCTCTCTGTAAAAGCAATCCTCAGGTGAAGATAAAAAAAAATATTTTTTTAAAAAAAGAGTTCTCTCTAAAGACCTAAATTACTGGTACATAGAAGGTGCTCAAGAATGCTTTGCAGAGTGGGTGAACAGGACAGTGACGGAAGCCGCAGACAGAAGGAAAGCCCCGAGAGAGGAGATCAGACCTGCCGGATGAGAAACCCACACTGACTGCTCAGGCTAGGAGACGTTTGAGGAGTTTGAGCCCCACACTCCCTGCCCCCACAGTCTGTTCCTGCCTCGATCGCATTTCTGCAGCATCACTGGGTAGTTCACTCTATGGTGCACCCCTTCCTGCTCAGCATCAAAACCCTTCTCAACTTTCTATTCAAGCCCAGACATCCCGTGGTTTCCAGCCACTTGTGGGTATTGATGCAAGAGCCTGGGTTTTGCTGTCAGATGGACCCAGACTCAAACCCCACTCCCTTGGAAACAATTCAGCTATTTCCTGAGTGAAGTGTCAAGCCACTCACTTCACAAGCCTCAGTTCCCTCCTTGCCTACACCCCACTGCATTGCTATAAAGATTGCTGCTAATATTGGTGACACCTCCTGACCAGCATCAGGCACATGGTAGGCACTTAGTGAATGTTTGTTCTGTCACGTGCCCTCTGCCCGGGTGCATCCTCACAATCACTTGGAAGAGTATCAGCTGCCTGTCCCACTTTGCTTCCCAGAGCAATTCATCCTCACATCAGCTCTGGGAAGTAAGTCATTTCTTCCATTTTACAGATCAGGCCACGGAGGCTCACAGCACTGTTGGGCCACCTAGCTGGGATCAGAACCTAGACCTGGCCACACCAGAAGCTGGATATGTTTAACATCTGTGGGCATTCCTTGACAAACCTCCTCTGGCTGTCAGTGTGTCCACATGCTGACCATGCACCTCTTCTGCTCAGGAACTTTCTGTGGCTCCCCAGTACCCCCAGGGGAGGCTGGCTTCTCATTCACCTCTGCCGTACAGCTGCCCATACTGGCTCCCCTGCTGGACGCCTGCCAGAGTCCCCTCTACCCAGCATGCCTGTTTCTGTGCCCTGGAATCTGTCCGGCAAATGATAGTCACCTTTGAAGACTTGACTTTGTTTCCCTGCATCCCTTGCCCTTGGAGGTCTTCCTCTGAAGTTGGGTTTCTTTCTTCACCCTGTCCCCTTGTTCATTCAATATGTCCCCCTTACTGGGGCCAAGAAAGGACTCCATCCCTCCAGGGGCTCCTGGTCTGGGAAAAGAGGCTCCCTGTGGGGGGGACATGTTAGCTGAGCATGAGTGGCCATCATCACTCTTCTGACTCTCAGACTTTCCCATGGCAAGGGTATTCTGACCAGAGGTAGAGTGGGCTGGGAGAGCCAATGTGTTTAAGTGTTTAAGGCATTGGATGAGTTCAGTGGGGCTAAAAGCAGAAAATATTCCAGGAAGGCTTCCTGGAGGAGGAGTTTTGGGGAGGAACCTGTGTCTGAGTTTCCTCCTTGAGCCCTAAGGAGGGTGTCAACTATTGAACACTTGAGGAAGGAAGGAAGAAGGGAAAGTGGGAGCATGAGAGGGTGCTGGAGCCAGTGCAGGGCAGGGTGAAGGTTCTCTGAGGATGGAGAAGATGGGGCAGGGGCAGCAGGAAGGCTGTGGTTGCTGAGAATAAGGGTCATGGCGTGGCATGGGGAATAGAGGTCACAGCTGAGTGTGTGGCTCTGAGAGGATCTCAGAGGACCAAGATAGCATGCATGACCATGAGAGAGGAGCAGGGGAGTGGGAGAAAGGAGACCATCTCTAGGTGGAAGGGGTGGACAGCAGGTCACATGCCTTGGAGAAGTCAAGGACTTGGCCTGGGCTTGAGCATGAGAAGTGGGTAGGGGAGTGAAGAGCAGGGAGACAGGAAGGGAAGCAGGAAGGAGGTGTCCTCATGCTGTCTGGCCTCCTCCTGTAGGCAGTGAGCCCGGACTGGACCTTGCCCACCTCTCTCTCCTGCTATGAGGGTGGAGGTGAGCCAGGTCAGGGCACTAAGGCTCCACCCCACTTCCCCGAGTGCTTGTTTCCCAGGGCCCACGCCCACCACCCTGCTCCCACCCCCCAGGGCAGCAAGGAGCGCTTCCATTGGCAGAGCCACAATGTGAAACAGAGCGGTGTGGACGACATGGTGCTGCTGCCTCAGATCACCGAGGACTCCATCGTGGGCAACCTCCGAAAGCGCTTCATGGATGACTACATCTTTGTACCCTGGGCCGTGGGCAGGGCAGGCCAATGAAGGGCCAAGGGACAGGAGAGCTGGCCAAGGGGTGGAGGGGTAGTGGGTGGATGAATGCCGGGAAGGGTAGCAGAGGAACTTCATGACAGAAGGGACACCCAGGTGCCTGAGCAAATGAATGGAGGGGTCTAGGGCAGCGAAAGCATTGGGTGATAGCACAGGGGACAGATGGAGTGACAGTAGGGCTCTGCTGGCGGGTGGTTGTGCCCCCCACTTCTTCCTCTGCCCTGGGATGGCTCAGCCACAGCATATCATTTTCCCCATTCTGGACCTAACCCTGGTTTTTCCTAAGAGACCCAGGGCACATCTGAGTATCTCCATCTCTTCCTCTTAGCAATGGGGTTCCAGGAGGCCCCAGGGCAGGGGACATCAGGCTGAGGGGACAGGGCGCATGAGAGACAAAGCATGCCAGGACAATTCATGGCCCTTAACCACTCCCCAGACCTACATTGGCTCCGTGCTCATCTCTGTAAATCCCTTCAAGCAGATGCCCTACTTCACGGACCGTGAGATCGAGCTCTACCAGGGAGCGGTGAGCACGAGGCTGGGCGGGAGGCATGGTCCCCAGGACCCTGGCCCCTAGCCCTGAGCTGAGACCTGCCCTCCCCGGCAGGCCCAGTACGAGAATCCCCCGCACATCTATGCCCTCACCGACAACATGTACCGGAATATGCTCATCGACTGTGAGAACCAGTGTGTCATCATCAGGTAGGACAGGGGCCTCAGACCCTCCCACCCAGGCCCCACCCAAATAGCATCACTGCCCCAGGGAGATTGACTTGGAACCCTGATCCAGACAGAGGCTTGCCATCCCTCTCTGTCCCCAGCCTGGCTTTCCTTTCCTGGTCACCCTCTGACCCACGATATATTTTACTTATTCATTCTGTTATTGTCCATCTGTCCTCTCTACACGTCAGCTCCAGCAGGGCAGGGACTTGTATCCGTCTTGTTCACTACTCTGTTCCCAGTGCCTGGACTAGCCCTTTGCACGCAGTAGGAACTGAATGAAGGAAGGAACAAACGAATGATCAGGGACTAAAAAGGGCACTTCCCCCTTCCTCTGCCCCTGGCCACTGATCCTTCCTTGCCTCCTCCATCCTCAGTGGAGAAAGTGGAGCCGGGAAGACGGTCGCCGCCAAATACATCATGGGCTACATCTCCAAGGTGTCTGGTGGGGGCGAGAAGGTCCAGGTGAGGCAGACAGAAAGGCCGCGTTTCCCCCCACTCTACGGTGTTTTATCCCTCCGCACCTGCCTCAGCCTGACCTCTCCCCCGGACCCCCCTGCCGCCTGCAGCACGTGAAGGACATCATCCTGCAATCAAACCCGCTGCTCGAGGCCTTCGGCAACGCCAAGACCGTGCGCAACAACAATTCCAGTCGTTTCGTGAGTCCGCAGCCCTGCTTTAGGCGCAACCACGCCACACACACACACACACACACACACACACACACACACACACACGTGTCCTCTACCTGCATGCCCAACATTACAGGAAATACCTGCTCCTGGACGGGACTCTCACTGCCTGCTCACTGTGCATTAAAACAGAGTCGCTATCGCAGACTGGGACAGGTTTGTGTCACCTTCTGAAATACTCCCCTGGCTGCAATTATGCCACGTGTGCCCCCAGTCACGTTTCAGTCCTTTTTAGTCCTCCTTTCCTCCCTTCCCTCAGGAAATGGTTCTTAGGCTCCTTCATTGTGTATGGTGCTATACTGAGTCTAATGGAGACAGACTAGGTAACCAGATCCAGGTTTAGGGTCTGGTTCTGTCACTATGTAGACATGTGGCTTGGACGAAGAAATAGTATAACCTCCTGAGTCTCCTCTGTTTTCTCCTCCTTAATGTGGAATGATATTAAAATACGCCTCATAGACCTCAACACTCAGCACAATGCCTGCACGTAGAAATGACTTAGTAAATTCCATACGCTAATAAGAATTTTATTTCCCAAAACATTATTAGCTATATTTTATTTTCTAATATATATTTATAATACAATTATATTGAAGTATTTTCCCCAATATTTTATTATTAAAATTTCAAATACACAGAGAGATGGAAGAATAAAGCGAACATCTGTATGCTCCTCTCCCAGATTCTTTTTTTAATTTTTTATTGATTATGCTATTAGTTCTCCCAATTTCTCCCCCTCTGCCCTGCCCCCCAACCCTCCAGCATTCTCCCCTTAGTTCGCATCCATGGGTTGTACATATAAGTTCTTTGAGTCCTGTTTCCCATACCATTTCTTATCTCTCCCCATCTACCTTATGCCTACTAACCATGCTCCTTCTTCCCTGTACATTTTCCCCCTGACTCCTCCCTTCCCCCTCCCCACTGAACTCCTTCTGTGTGATGTCCATTTCTCTGATTCAGTTCCTGTTCTGGTTGTTTGCTTAGTTGTTTTGTTGTATTTTGTTTTTTTCATTGTTTTTCTTTTCTTTTAGGTTCATTTGTTGATAGTTGTGAGTTTACTGTCATTCTACTGTTCATATTTTTTATCTTCTTTTTCTTAGATAAGTTCCTTTAACATTTCATATAATAAGGGCTTGGTGATGATGAACTCCTTTAACTTTATCTTATCTGGGAAGCACTTTATCTGCCCTTCATTCTAAATGAAAGCTTTGCAGGATAGAGCAATCTTGGATGTAGGTCCTTGCCTTTCATAACTTCAAATACTTCTTTCCAGCCCCTTCTTGCCTGCAAGATTTCCTTTGAGAAATCAGCTGACAGTCTTATGGGCACTCCTTTGTAGATAACTGTCTCCCTTTCTCTTGCTTCTTTTAGGATTCTATCTTTGTGTTTAATCTTGGGTAACTTAATGATGATGTGCCTTGGTGTGTTCCTCCTTGGGTCCAACTTCTTTGGGACTGAGTTTCCTGGACTTCCTGGAAGTCTATTTCCTTTGCCAGAGTGGGGAAGTTTTCCTTCATTATTTGTTCAAATAAATTTTCAATTTCTCACTGCTGTTCTTCTCCTTCTGGCACCACTATAATTCAGATATTGGAACATTTCAGGTTGTCCCAGAGGTTTGTAATAGTCTCTTCACGTTTTCAAATCCTTGTTTCTTCATTTTGTTTTGGATGGATGTTTATTTTTTCCCTTTTGTGCCAAATCGTTGCTTTGAATCCTGGTTTCCTTCCTGTCGCTGTTGGTTCCCTAAACATTCTGCTTTATTTCACTTTGGGTATCCTTTTCATATTTCTTTGTTTTTTCATGTTTTCATTTTATTTTTTGACCAAGTTCAATCAGATCTGTGAGCATTTTGATTGCCAGGGCTTTAAATTCTCCATCAGATAGGTTAGCAATCTCCTCACTTAGCTCTCTTTCTGAGGCTTTACTCTGTTCTTTCATTTCAGCCATATTTCTTTGTCTTGGCCCAGCTGATAGGTTGTAAGGAGGCAGGGCCTTAGGTATTCACTGACAAGGCGACCCTCTTTGCTGGGGAGGGGCCAGAGAGGGAACAGTGTGGCTACCTGCTCACCTCTATGGCCCTTTTCAATGGACTCTCCTGTGAGACTAGGAGCTTCTCCTACCACCACAACCACCGCAGCCCACAGCCACCTCTGAGTCCCCACAAGCCCCTCCCTCCCCCGAGCCCACCAGCTCAGCAACCAGCCCCGCCCCCAAGGTCAGCTGGGTCCTGGCAGTTTTTCTGAGTCGGAGAACACTGTCCACCACCTCACCAGTCTGGTTGTACTGGTTGACTTTTTCTTTAATTCCTTTGTTGTTGGAGTTCCATGCAGTTTGATTTTCTGGCACTTTGGGTTGTTTATTGATTTTAGATTGGTTGTTATCCTCCTTTTGGTTGTTCGAGGAAGTGAAGGGTTTCTACCTATGCCTTCATCTTGGCCAGAAGTCTCCTCTCCCAGATTCTATTGTTAGCATTTTACTATACTTGTTCCAGGGTATCTCCATCCATCATGCTGTCTTTTTATGTGATGCAGTGCAAAGCAAGCAGCCGACACCATGCCTTTCCCCACCACACTCCAGCATGCAGATCATTGATAACAGTCCATTGTAAATGTGCAGTTCTTTCATTTCTTTTAAAATAAAATTTGCACGCCACAAAATACATATCTCTAAAGTGCACCATTCAGTGAAAAACGCATACACTGTGCAACCCAAACCCCTGTCGATATATAGAACGTCACCATGGCTGCAGGAGGTCCCCCGTCCCTTTCGAGTCCATTCTACTCCCACCCTACTCCAGAAGTGACCAATCTTCTGAGTTTTTTCACCATAGATTAGTTTCAGCTGTCCTAGAACTTCATATAAATGGAATCACACAGTATGTGTTTTCAAATTACTGATACACCCAAAAACATGGATAAATCTCAAAATGTATAATTACATTTTATTTTATGTAGTCTTATTGTACAATAGAGTAAGTATGTCATATACTACAGGTGTTTATGTAGTACAGTGACATAGTTTTGTATTGCTCTCAGATGGAAGTGCAGAAAGGAGACATAATGTGACTTGTCTGTCCTCCAACCTCTGGCCAGAGAAGAACCCAGATGGTGTCAGAGGCCAAAGAAAGGGCTCGTCAGGCCCTTGCTCTGGGCTGACAGACAACATGTGGGAGACACTCAGCATGATTGAAACCAGTAGTATCCCATAGAAACATGGAGGCCTCTGTGTTGTAGTAGAGGGACTGAGGACCTACCTGGTCAGTAAAATGGGATACTGCCCTGACTGGTGTGGCTCAGTGGGCTGGGCATCGTCCCATAAAGTGAAAGTTCACAGGTTCAATCCCCAGTCAGGGCACACAATCAGGTTGGGGGTTCAGTCCCCAGTTGGGGCATGTGTGAGAGGCAACCAATCGATGTTTCTTTCTGATATTGATATTTCTCTCTCCCTCTCTTTCTTTCTCCTTTTTTCTCTCTCTAAAAATAAATAAATAAAAAATCTTTAAAAAAATAAAACAGGATATTTCTGTGAGCCAGGCACAGGGCCGATGCCCTGAATGAGGGCTTGAATCCTCAGAGAGGGAGATAAGGGCATTCCGGGCCCAGGAAATAACTTAAGCAAAGGCTGGAAAGGAGGAACTGGTGGAAAAGACAATCAGGGCATAAGTGGGGATGGGGAGAGGAAAGCGAGTTGAAGTCACATGGAGTCACATGGGTAAGAGGAGGAAGAGGCCAGGCTCCTAAGGCCCATCCCCAGTCCTTCCCCTACCCCTGAATCCCAAGGCCCCACTGGGGGGCTTACATGGTTCTCTCACATTCAGGGCAAGTATTTTGAGATCCAGTTCAGCCGTGGTGGAGAGCCTGATGGGGGCAAGATCTCCAACTTCCTGCTGGAGAAATCCCGCGTGGTCATGCAGAATGAAAATGAGAGGAACTTCCACATCTACTATCAGGTGCAAGGAACAGGGAGCCCCACCTGGAGTCTGAGGGTGGCAGGGGGAGGGTCTGTGAGGACTGGGGTACCCCAAGGCCTGAGCCAGTTCAGTGCACAAGCATTGATACCCCTCCAGCTGCTGGAAGGGGCCTCCCAGGAGCAGCGGCAGAACCTGGGCCTCATGACGCCCGACTATTATTACTACCTCAACCAATCAGACACCTACAAGGTGGATGGCACTGATGACAGAAGTGACTTCAGTGAGACTCTGGTGAGCACCAACTGCCCTCTAACCCTGGTATCCTCTTGTGTTGCAAATCAGGAAACTGAGTCCCAGAGGCAAGCAGGGACTTGCATAAGGTCACACAGTGAGGTCAGGAAAGAGGTGAAATGGGGACCAGATGCCTGATTCTGAGTCTGTGCTGTGACCCCAGAAGCCCAACCTCAGGAGACAGGGGTGGGGGGCGGTCGGAATGGTGGCACAGGCCCTGTCCTTGGCGCCCGCAGAGTGCCATGCAGGTCATCGGGATTCCACCCAGTGCCCAGCAGCTGGTCCTGCAGCTCGTAGCCGGTATCCTGCACTTGGGGAACATCAGCTTTCGTGAAGATGGGAACTATGCCCAGGTGGAGAGTGTGGACCGTGAGTGTGGGTACTGAGGAAGGCGGGGAGCAGGTGGTGTGTGTGGGCGCTTCCTCCTAATTCAGCCCCCAGAGGGTGAGAACCCACGAGGACAATTTCAGTGTCACTGGGCAAAATAGGGAGAGACCGGGCACTGGAAGACAAGAGCCTGATGGCTGCCCCCTCCCTCCCCCCACCCCCACCCTGCAGTCCTGGCCTTTCCTGCCTACCTGCTGGGCATTGACAGTGGGAGGCTACAGGAGAAGCTGACCAGCCGCAAGATGGACAGCCGCTGGGGCGGGCGCAGCGAGTCCATCAACGTGACCCTGAACGTGGAGCAGGCAACTTACACTCGAGACGCCCTGGCCAAGGGGCTCTACGCCCGTCTCTTTGACTTCCTCGTGGAGGCCAGTGTGGCAGGGGTGGGGTTGGCAAGGGAGAGGTGCTCTGGGACCAGCCGAGGTTGGGGGGGTGCTGGGGGCAGGCGTGACTATCACAACCTCTCTGGTTCCCTGCCATGGGCCACACCAAGCAGGGGCAGGGTGATCATGTGGCAAACAGAAGGGCTTCCTCTGCCTGGGGCATGGAGCCCAGGCTTGGACTCCATGGGATAGGGGCTATGGTGATGGAGAGGGTGGGTGTGCGTGGGAGCAGAGAGGAGGTCTGTCTAGAGGGCAAGGTGGTGGACAGGAAGAGTCAGGGTAGAAAATGAGGACAGAGCAGTAGCGAACGTCACCTAACACCCAGTGTGCACCCTTTACTGGGGTGACTGTTTTACATGCATCAGCTTATTTCTTAAAAAGAGACCTACAAAATCCTTGCTATTATTCACTCATTGTAAAGATAACCGATGGGGCAGTGTCAGTAAGGGGCAGAGCCAGCTCCCAAGGCAGGAACCTGGTGCTCTAATGCCTGGATTCCTTGTATGAGTGCCTGATAGGGGTGCACATAGAGCCTGCAGTGCACCTAGGAGCCCAGTTGGCTGGCACTGACCTCCTGTCCCTATCTACATCACAGGCCATAAACCGCGCTATGCAGAAGCCCCAGGAAGAGTACAGCATTGGTGTGCTTGACATCTACGGCTTCGAGATCTTCCAGGTGTGGGTTCTGCTCCCAGGTGCACTCCTTGTTGCCATGGCCCCAGGAGCCTCCAGCATCAGCCCACTGAAGGCAGCACTCTTTTCTTCTCTCCACAGAAAAACGGCTTTGAGCAATTCTGCATCAACTTTGTCAATGAGAAGCTCCAGCAGATCTTTATTGAACTCACTCTGAAGGCGGAGCAGGTGGGCAGGGGCAGCCAAGTGGCCAGGGACACAGGACACTGGGTTGGAGGCAGGCCATCAAGGCTCCTCTGTGAAATTTCCGTTGAAAGATGCTTTCCACCTTTCAAGCTTTGACAAGGGCTGGGGAATAATGTTTTTATCCATTCCTTCAACAATTACTTATTGAGCACCTACTGTGTCCCAGGCACTGTCTGCAGTGCTAGGGAGGCTACCATGAACAGGAAAGACAAAACTCCCTGATGTTTTGTACTCCCGATCCCATAGAAGCACAGCCTCAGACAAGGATTCAGGGCAAAGACCAAGAAGAAAGTGAGGTAGTGAGAGAGGGATTTTTTTAAAAATTCCCAGTGGGGTGTGGTAATGAGTAGGTTACCCACAGGCCACTGGAGTTCAGTTCTGCTGGGCCCCAGGCGACTTTGCAGAGCAGACCTCAGGGTGGGCCTACTAAGGAACGAGGGAGCCATAGCACGTCACCAGCATGTCTATTGGTGGCTGAGGGCTGCCAGGTTGGGGGGGGCATACTTTCAGCCTGCCCCACGCAGGGTAAAGGCTTTGTTACAGTTGAAAGTCCTAACTGATGAGATTGTGGAGGAAATTTGGAGGAAGCATGGCCCCATTTTCTTTTTTTCAATAAAAGAGAAACTTACTGAGGCCCCAGGGCCAGGGTTCAGGCAGAAGGCACCTTGTGAGTCGAGGAGATGATGGCGGAGCCTTATTGGACCCTCTTCTTGGGGCACAGGCTATAGGTGTGGCCGCACTTCTTCTTGCGGGCAGTTGACAGTGCAGGGTGCAGGCAGGGTAGTACTTGCAGATCATCGTCTCACGGTTGTGCTTCTGGGCAGGCAGGCGGAGGGAGGGCTCAATGGTGCCACCCTGTAGATGAGACACCAAGTGCAGGGTGGACTCTGTCTGGGTGTTGTCACCTGACAGAGTATGGCCATCCTTCAGCTGTTTGTCCGCAAAATTCAGATGCTGCTGGGCAGGTGGGATGCCTTCCTTGCCTTGGACTGTAGCTCTGACATTCTCAGTTATGTCACTGGGCTCAGCCTCGCGGGTGCCAGCCCTGCCAATCCGGGCCTCACAGAGATCCGAGGCTCTGCATCCACAGGGCAGGCTGGGCGCCACCTGATTGAAGAGAAAGAGAGTGACAGACAGCCTCGCTTTCTTTGCCCGTCCTCAAGCATGCATTCTAGGAATACACACCTCTGCCCAGACTCCCACCTCAGCCCTGCTCTTTTGCCACCCCCAGGAGGAGTATGTCCAGGAGGGCATCCACTGGACCCCCATCCAGTATTTCAACAACAAAATCGTCTGCGACCTCATTGAAAACAAGCTGGTGAGGGCCAGGCCAGCTTTGTGGGGGCTCAGGAGGCCCCAGAGCTGAGTCCAGGAGTCTTGGGAGAGCCAGAAGGGAGTGATGGTCCCCATAGGCCCCTCTCTGTCCAGGAGGGCAACTGACACATCCCATCACCCATCTCCCTCATTCACTCTGCATACCTGCTCACCCTTCATTTAATCACTCAACAAACACCCCCGCCCCCAGCAGCCTGCTCAGGTACAGGCCCCCCAACTAGACAGCCCAGTCTGAGAAAGGGGAATAGGCAAGGATCCCTTATGGGGTCCCTCACCCCACCTTGTGCCCTAGGGAGCTTCCACAGCAGCATCCCCACATACAGTCAGCCCTACTACCACATTTTGCTCTTATGTTTGGAAGCCCCCTCTCCTATGCTAGTGAAGGTCCCTGTGATGGGATTGGGGCGGGCGAGGGCCAGACTGAGCGACTGCTGCTTCCCCATGACCGCAGAGCCCCCCAGGCATCATGAGTGTCCTAGATGACGTGTGTGCCACCATGCACGCCACAGGCGATGGCGCCGACCAGACGCTGCTGCAGAAGCTACAGGCGGCCGTGGGCACCCACGAGCACTTCAACAGCTGGAGCGCTGGCTTCGTCATCCACCACTATGCTGGCAAGGTGTGATGCACCCGCCTCCCCCACTTCCTCTGGCTCCCCAGCCCCCATGCCCCACCACCTGAGTGGTCCCCAGCAGCACCTCCTTACAGACCCCAGGGGTCTCCAGGCCTCAGCCTCCAACCTCTCAATGGACAGAGTCCCCAGAGGTCCCCAGCCAGGACTGCAGAACTCTACTCACCCCATTCTCCAGTGTTACTCTAACTGACCAGGAACACAGACCCCCACTCACTGACCCCCAGAAACTGGCCTGGCCCTCCACAGTGCCTTCAGCCAAAGCTGCAGAAACCCATTGGCTCCTGATCAAGGCCACAGCACCCACTCCCCTTTGCAAGGTAGAAACTCCCTCCAAATGACCCTAAATTGGGCAGCAGACCCCCAAACCCCAATGTGAGTGGTAAGCCCCACTAACCCTGTGTTCCAGGACATAGCCCACCCCCTTCTGACCCCAACTGGAGACCCCAGGCCCATGCTGTAAGCCACCACCCTCCAAAATAGGCTGGAGTCCCCTGGAGACCCCTCCCTGAGACTAAAGAAATCCACTGACCCCCGACCCTCGCCCTGGTCCCCATCCCCAGCTGACTAGACTGCAGACTCTCCCATTGACTTTAACATGAGCAGTAGACAGCCCCAGGGGTCCTCAGGCTTGCTACAACCCACCAGCCTCTAAAGTGGGCTGGGGCTCCTATGTGCCCTGAGCCAGGGAATGCCCACAGCTAGCACTGTGGGGAGCCCCCACCTTGGATGGCAGACTCAGCCTACAAGCCTGGCCGAAGTCCCCCGGGGATCTTCAGCCACTGCCATAACTTTCCCCCAACACAGCCTCCCATCCCCTCAACTGACCACAACACAGAGGCTCTAACCTGTGAACTCCAACTTAAGTAGCAGAACCCCTACCCTAAGGACCTCCTGCCCAGGCTGCAGCCCACAACCAAAGTCTGGGCTATAACCATCCCCTCCCCCTGCCTCTGATCCAGACTGCCTGGACCTAACACCAGCTCCCCTCACCTCTGACCCAGACTACAGTTCCCACTCTCTGATTTCACCTTCAACATCAGACCCATGGGGACCCCAGGCCCTGGCTGCTGCCCTTGCCCCTTCTTCTGAACCATATATATTGCCTCCCTTTTCTTACCCCAAAGCAGGACCCTCACCCACCTGGGCTATAAGCCCCCTACCCACCCTAACCTCAACCCCTCACTCCCCCTCTGCCACCACCTTCCAGGTCTCCTATGATGTCCACGGCTTTTGTGAGAGGAACCGAGATGTTCTCTTCACTGACCTCATAGAGCTGATGCAGACCAGTGAGCAGTGAGTGGCCCTGGGCATGGGGACATCTAGGCAGAATCCACCCCTGGGGATGGGGATGGCCCAGGGACCACTCCATCTTCCCCAGAGCTCCCAGCACAGACTTTGTTGGGGCGGTTGTGTTCTAGTGACCGGTTCTGGTCAACAGTAACATGTCCAGCACTCCACCTACAAACCCAAGCATTTAGCACAGACAGCATCCCTTGCCACACAGGGAGAACATGTCATGCCCTGCACTTTTCTGTACTAACACACATGGCTCTATCTCCCTGCCCAGCTGCATGCCAGGTGCCATATTTTGGCTTTTTATACCTCAAAATTTTATTCAAGCTGTGCTCTGGACCAGGCACCATTTGAATTTGCAGAGCTGGATGACCCAACAAATCAGAGAACCCAGCTGCTCAGGGAGACAGACACTGAACTAGGAGATAAGGCAGACAGAATCTAGCACAGACAGCCCTGAAGAGGTGACAGTGGTTCCTGGACCAGCCACATGGGTGCCATCTGATAGTTCCCGGGGCAGACTCCCAGGCCCCACCCCAGACAGATGGGACCCAAATCTGGATTTTAACAAGATCCTCACCCCACCCCACCCCTGGGACCCATGTGCAAGTCAGAGTTTGAGATTCACTGGTCTAGAGTAGCAATTTTCAACCTTTTTCATCTCATAGCACACATACACTAATTACTAAAATTCTGCAACACAGAAATTTGTATTGATCTGACAAAAAAAATAGGTATAATTTGGATTCATTCACACCAGATGACTATTGTTCTGTTGGCTGTTGTCATTTTCTTATTTGACAGTCTAAGGGAAAAGAGGTCAATGCCCATGATGAAATAGTCATGTACTGCATGTGTTAAAAGTTCTTGCAGCACACCTGTTAAAAATTGCTGCCTTAGACAGTGCTGCTCAATACATTGCACATCCAACAGAATTCAAGCTACACACATAGTATTTATTAATCCTCACCAAAGATATATATAATGATTTTTAGAGAGAGGGAAAGGGACAGGGGAGAGAGAGAGAGAAACATTGATCAGTTGCCTCTTGTATATACATGACCGGGGATCAAACCTGCAACCTTGGTTTGTGTCCTGACCAGGAATCTAACCTGCAACCCTTTGGTGTATGAGACAACACTCCAATCAACTGAGCCACCTGGCCAGGGCCATGTAATTTTTTTAAGCCTTATTTAGTTATAATTGACATACCATGAAATGCACCCAACTTAAGAAGTGATTTTTACTACAGGCTTGGACAGCCATTGTTTGCATCACCCACAAAAAGATGTCTTGTGACAAACTGCAGTCAATCCCCATCCCTACCACCTGTACCATTCTACATTTTCTAGTAAGCACATTTAAGAAGTAAAAAGGCAAACAGGTAAATTTTTTTAATGTTTTCCTTAACTCACTACACAGAAAATATAATCATCACAATATGCAATCAATATTTTTAAATTATTCATGAATTATCTTTTATTCACTTTTTCCACACTGCACCTTCTTTGAAATCCAGTGTGTATTTTAACAGAATAGTACATCTCAATTCAGACAGGTTCTCAATAATTCCCTGACTAGTGTGGCTCAGTTGCTTGGGTGTCATCCTGCAAAACAAAAGGTTGCTGGTTTGATTCCTGGTCAGGGCACATGCCCAGGTTGTGGGTTTGGTCCTAGGTCAGGGCAGAAGCAACAGGCAACCAGTCGATATTTCTCTCTCACATCAATGTCTTTCTTGCTCTTTCTCCCGCCCCCGACCCATGCCCCTCTCTCTAAAAAATAAATAAATAAATAATATCTCTTTTAAAAATCAGGGTTCTTGATGACCACGCGTAACCAGTGGCCACCATGTTGGAAGGCACATAGTCGTGGTTGTCAAAGTGGGGCTCCCAGGCCAGCAGCATCCGAGAAGAAAAACTGCTCGAGGGAGAGGGAGTAGAGAGGGCAATATTCTTTCTTTTTACTTTACTCTTTTAATTGTGATCAAATACATACAAAATTTCCTACTTCACCATTTTTAAGTGTACAATTCAGTAGCATTAAGCATTAGACAACCATCAGCATTATCTAGTTCCATAACTTCTTCATCCCCCACAAATGGACACTCCGTGCCTATGGAGCAGTCCACTCACTCTGTGGTCAGAGAAGGTCTCTCTGAGGAGATGGGAGAGGGAGCCACGATGAACAAAAGTGTATTTAACTGATGCCCTGTTGACAGACACGGGTCACATCCATCTCTGGCCAAGAAAAACAGGGCTACAGAATCTAGCATCTGTGTCCTGCACGCAAACCTGTGCATGCAAGATGGTCCCTACATGGGGACCTGTCCCTGCTGCCGAAGATGCTGCTTCGTGGGAAATATTTTCCTACTTCACTTACCTTTTTTCTACTTCACTTGCTACCCAAGTCATGGGTGGTCATTGGAATAAGTAACAAAGCAAATAACCAAAGACCCAAAAGGATGAAACCAACCCACCAAATTCTCAACATCTCATCCTCCACATTCAGAAAAAAACAATACTTTCCAGCATGCCCCCTGGGTCTCAGGCACCTAGACAGCTCCCCTTCTAGGAGAGGGCACTCCAAGGTCCAGCTGCACCTCTAGCCCCTTCTCTCCTGTTGCCCAGAGCCTTCCTCCGGATGCTCTTCCCTGAAAAGCTGGATGTGGACAAGAAGGGCCGCCCCAGCACTGCTGGCTCCAAGATCAAGGTGAGCTATAGGGCGGGCAAGGAAGAGCTAGGCCAGGGGAGGCCTGCATCAGTCCCTCCCCCTTTCCAGGCCCTCTGCCCTGTCTGGCACCTTCTGTCCAGCAGGGCCTTCTTCCAGCTCCGGGGTTAGGAGGCTGCAGCCAACTTCCTCAATGACCCCTAACTCCCTAAATCCATAAGTAAACTATTATCTTAATAATTTTTTTATCTTTTGGTCATTTACCACTTTTTAAAAATTGTGGTAAAATATACATAACATAAAATTTACCATCTTAACCATTAAGTGTACAGTTCAGTGGCATTAAGTACATTCACACTGCTGTGCAACCATCCCCAGCATCCATACCCCAAATTCTTTTTATCTTGTTAAACTGAATCTCTGTCCCCACTAAACACTAACTCCCTGTCCCCCTCCCCCAGCTCCTGCCACCCACCATCTACTTTCTGCCTCTATGAATCTGACTAGGGACTGAAATGCACAACCCAAAGCTGGCCTCACAGGCACACACATGAGATTCCCTACTTCCAAAATACTGATTCCCAAAGGAAAGGCAGGAATGTTCTAGAGGATGTGTTTTCCCGAGGGCTCAGCTACTCCATCAACAAACATTTGTCTGCTGCCCACTCCCCACCCCACCGCCCACAGTGTGTCTCCATCTCTTAGGTCTGTATCCAGGGTGGGAGGAGAAAGGGGCCAGAGGGTCCCATCTGTTCACCAACCCCCCGCCTTCTCCCCCTTCTCAGAAACAAGCCAATGACCTGGTGGCCACGCTGAAGAAGTGTACACCCCACTATATCCGCTGCATCAAACCCAACGAAACCAAGAGGCCCCGTGACTGGGAAGAGAGCAGGTGACCCCCAGCCTGGTCTGGCTCTCAGCCTGACCAGTTTGACCAGTCCACAGTGCCTATCCCCCAGACTCACCCTCCCTCCAGAACCCTTCTGGGGTTGAAGGACATCACAGGACTACCCCAGGCTGACCCCTAGGACCAATGCAAAGCCCCTCAGGGCCTCAGAGTTACACCTAGAACAGACCAATACCCCAACCCTGTGGCCCCCAGACCCACTGGAGGATGACCAAGGCACTAGCACAGTCCCCAGTCCTGGGGTCTGTGACTGGCCCCAGACCCAACACAGACGCTTTCCAAACCCCACCCCACAGAACTGATTTACTGAACCCCCCACCCCAGACCTCATCACCCAGACTGCCTCCAGCAGAACCCCTCCCACTCCTAGGACTGACGAGGCCCCCACCATGGGACTCAGGCTGCCTTCCCTCCAGGGTCAAGCACCAGGTGGAGTACCTGGGCCTGAAGGAGAACATCAGGGTACGCCGGGCAGGCTTTGCCTACCGCCGCCAGTTCGCCAAGTTCCTGCAAAGGTGAGGCTCCCAACCACTGCCTGTGGATTAACAACCAGCTGAGCCATCCTCTCAAACCCTTCTAAACCTCCTGCCACCAGGTATGCCATTCTGACCCCCCAGACATGGCCACAGTGGCGTGGGGATGAGCGTCAGGGGGTCCAGCACCTGCTGCGGGCTGTCAACATGGATCAGGACCAGTACCAGATGGGCAGCACCAAGGTCTTCATCAAGAACCCTGAGTCAGTAAGTGTGTGTGTCAGAGAGACAGACGGACAAGACACGTGGGTCACTTGCATAGGCTCAGGTCCTGCTCTTCAGGCCACTGTGTGACCTTGGACATATTTCCTCATCCCTCCAAGTCTGCTTCTCCATTTGGGAAGTAGAGAGAGTAACAGCCACCCTGCAGGCCCGGGGTGAGGATGAGACAGAGGAGGAGGTCCACTGCACGATGCCTGACACATAGCAGGTGACCAGAAAAACCTAAATCAGCTGGACAGTCTTTGGTGGCCAGGAAGCAGATGGAGAAAGATGTAGCCACCTATGGTAACAAGACCCTTGAAAAGAATAAGGACCCACAGTTTACCCAAAGTGTCCTTTTGTCCCTTATTTCTTCCTTCCTTCCTTTCTTTCTTCCTCCTTCAGGTCCTTCTTTCTCACCTTTCTCCTGTCTTGTTCTCTTTCCTCTTGTCTTCCTTCACTCCACCCATGAACACAGTGAGTCCCTGGGCCTGAGCTGTGTCAAATTGGCCATCTTATTACACAAGGCCATCTTCGGCCCTGCTATGTAAAAGACAAACCTCACTGTGTGGGGACAGTCCCTTCAGCGAGCCCTTTATCAAGAGGCTGGCAGCACCACCCAGTTTCTACTGCCTCTGATTTCAGGGAAAAACAAACAAAAAAGCCATGGTGAACACTATGTCCTAAGGACCTCATGTAGGGCCCAGTGATAATAGGGAACAGTGCTGTATCACACACTTGACAGTCACTAAGAGAGTAGATCTTCAATGTTCTCACCACACAGAAGAAATGGTGACAATGTGAGTTGATGGGGGTGTTAGCTGACCTATGGTAGTCATCATTTTGCAGTATATACATGTATCAAATCAACTCATGTACACTTTAAACTTCCACAGTATTATATGTCAATTTTGTAAAGCTCAGTAAAGCTAAGGGAAGTCTTCTTTTTTCATTTAATCTTTATTGTATTTTTCCCCATTACCATTTAGTCCCCTTATATCCCCCTCCCGATAGCTGAGGGAAGTTTTTTAAAAAACATGACATCCCACAGAAAACTGGCCAAGGAATCTCCTAAGGACTTGCCTGGCCCCCTGCTTCTGTGTGAGGCTGAAAAGCAAACAGGGAGATGACCATCTCAACTAGCTTAACTCTTTCACCAGACTCTTTGGCAAATTCTAGCTCCCCCACTCCCACACAAGGCACACGCTGGAATAGCAGGGAAGGTGTGCTAGGGATGGGGCCTGGGCAGGGCCAGCCAGGTGCCTCAGCACCTGCATGATCATGGCACCCGCTCTGCTGGTACCTTGGGTACTTGAAGAAGACAACCAGTAAGTTGTTGAGATGACTCCCTTGACGTTAGTATACTTACAAGTAACCACTCTCTCCCAAACCAAAAGCAACAGAGGGGTAGACACTGTCAAGATTTCACAACTACAAAAATAGTCTATCTTGGGAGGCTGGAAATCTTTTATATATATATATTTTATTTATTTTTAGAGAGAGGGGAAGGGAGAGAGAGAAAATGAGGGAGAGAAATATCAATGTGTGACAGAAACATTGATTGGCTGCCTCTCACACGCCCCCAACAAGGGACCAGGTCCGCAACCGAAGCACATATCCTGACTGGGAGTCGAACCAGTGACCTTTTGATTTGTAGGACAATGTGCAACCCACTGAGCCTCACCAGTCAGGGTAGGAGGTTGGAGATCTTTGTCCCCACATTTGTCCACATCTATGTCCTAGAGCTTTACCCTATGGATGCACTTTACTCCAAAAAATAAACGATGGAATCGCATTTGAAGTAGATATGGTTACTGATAGAAACTTATCACAAACCAAAATTGTCAATGGCTAAAACCACACCTGAAACAATTCATTTTATAACACGTAAGAAAAAAAATGGAGCCCTGGCTGGTGTGGCTCAGTGGATTGAGTGCTAGCCTTCGAACCAAAGGGTCACGGGTTCGATTTCTAGTCAGGGCACATGCCTGGGTTGGGAGCCAGATTCCCCAGTAGGGGGTGCCCTAGAGGCAACCACACATGGATGTTTCTCTTCCTCTCTTTCTCCCTCCCTTCTCTTCTCTAAAAATAAATAAGTAAAATCTTTTTTAAAAAAGAAAGAAAAGAAAAAATTGAGCCAATTGGGTATCATTCCACGAAGTGAAGGGTCATCAGTTCGATTTTCAGCTGGGACACATGTCTGGGTTGCAGGCTCAGTCCCTGGGGGTGTGTATGAGAGGCTACCAATCGATATTTCTCTCTCACTTTGATGTTTCTCTCCCTCTCTTTCTTCCTCCCTCCCCCTCTCTCTAAAAGAAAGAAATAAAATCTTTAAAGAAAAGGAAAAATAGAGGGAGGGGAAGAAAAATAGGAAGATCCATGTGAGAAAAAGAATCCATCTTGCTGGTTACTGGCAGACTGTAAAATCTGACTCTGAAAGAAACATATTATTGACACTGAGAACAATAAACAAAATAAAGCTAGTACTGGCTAAGACCATAGAAGGCAAATTTTGACAAAAATTGCAGACTGCACATTTTGAGACTACACTTTGAATAATGAAATTCTCAAAGTTAAAAATTTGCTCAAAAATATTCATAACACAAAAGAAAGACTGAAAATTTGCACAGGAAATAAAAGTGATCCTGATGAGAAAATTCTCAGTAAAATGAAAACAGTTTAATGGTGTTATATCAAAAACTGATCAAGGGGATAAATAAACCTAATGGAGTTGGAGCCTCTCTCAACCACAAATGCACTTATGTTGAGATGATTCTGAATCGAACTGTTTCTTATAAACATGGATGCAAAATATATCCTTGGACATGTTATCCACTTGTCGGCCTTCACTTCCCAGCATCCCAGATGTATCGTCTCCCATGGCTGCTGTAGCCACGTGGCGCAAACTGGACAGCTTAACCCAACAGAAACTTATTTTCTCACATTTCTGGAGGCTAGAAATCCAAAATCAAGGTGTCACAGGGCCATGCTTCCTCTGAGGACACTAGGGAAGAACCCTTCCTTGCCTCTCCCTAATTTTGGTAGTTGGCAGTGATCCTTGGCATTTCCAGGTTCATATTTAGATGCATCACTGCAATCCCTGCCTGTTATCACATGGCCTTTTCTCCTCTGTGTGTCTGGGTCCTAATTTCCCTCTTCTTATAAGGAAACCATTCATATTGTATTTAGGGCCCACCCTTCTCCAGTATGACCTTATTTTAACATGATTACATCTGCAAAGACCTCTTTCCAGATGAGGTCACATTCACAGGTTCTGGGTGGACATGAACCCAGTCCCCCAGGAGAAGCTCCTACCAGGGTCCTGTCTCAGCCCCCTTAGGCAACACCTACCCTTGCCATCTGCAGCCTGAAGGAAATGCATTTTGAACTCTGTAGACAGGATGGTCTATTTCCCAAATGGAAAAAAAAATCCTCTTTATTGGGCAGAAATCATGAGACTGGGGACACTTGTCTCATCTTCCCTGAACAGCTAAGGAGAAAAGGTTTCTATTTGGCTCACTCCCAGTTCTGCAGGCTGGTCTTCACTTATTCATACCTGCCCTCCTCAGCAAACCACAAAATGCAATTACAAGCCCTCCAGACAGCCTGCATGAGGCATTACTCAGACATGCTTTGCACACAGACCCACCAACCATAGAGTATTAGAGAAACAAAAGGATACATATGTAAACCACTGGACTCCCTGCAACATATGAAACTGCACTGTTGGAGTTTTTTCCTGGTGAGAAGACTCCCCACCTTTTATGAACAGTTATAAACACCCACAGCTTTAAAAATCTTCCAAGATAGTTTAAAGTGCATGTGAACCAAGTGGTGGATATTTGTGTTTGAGAAATCCCTCCAAGTGAAGTGTTCTTTTTCTAAACAAAGTCCAATTTTATTTTTAATATTTCCCATCTTCACTTATTGACAGTGCTGTCCCTTTCATCACTAAATGTATATTTGAGTTAGGATGTTTCCAAGCCATCTGTGCTATTCCAGTTGATTGTTCTAGTCCTTGACCAGCAACCCATTGTTTTTATTACTGTAGATTTATAACTTTTCATATCCAGTGGGTTCCTCTCCTTGATTATGTTCACCTGTTATTATTCCAAATAACAGACATCTTTCATGGCATTTCCACTCTGACTTGATCAAATATAATTTATTCCCTAAGCCCCCTTTGGTCCAAGACGCTTAAAACTCAAAAGTCTACTTCCTGAGAAAGCTTCTTTCTCAGACCGCCATGTATGGCTGTGCAGATTGTACACAACACAACCACAGAGTCACCAGTCACGTCACAGTCCTATACATTGGATGCTTACATTTACAGTTTTGTTTTTCTAAAATGCACATTGATTCACATGTCTAATATCTCTGAAGTTGAGGTGCACCTCATATGAAAGGTATGACATAGCCTAATTAGCAGTGTGAGAAGTAGTGACATTGTGCTGTTTCTCTTGGAAGACCACACGGCTATAATAATGGGCAGAGCTGGAATTTGAACCCAACCAGACAAGCCGTTTATAACTTGATGCAGGGCTTGTGCCACATATTGGGAGGGAATCCCGGGTCACGTCATTTGGAGGAAGAAATCTTTTACCATAGTATGACAGCATGTGTGTAGATGCCCTTGAGTAAGAGCATGTGGATGGGATGGGCTCAGGGAAAACTGGAGACTGTGGCCCTGGGGAGACCACTCCTCCCTCTCGCCTAGCTCTTCCTTCTCGAGGAGATGCGAGAGCGCAAGTTTGATGGCTTTGCCCGCACCATCCAGAAGGCCTGGCGGCGCCATGTGGCAATCCGGAAGTATGAAGACATGCGAGAGGAAGGTGAGAGGCTGCAGGTGAGAGGCTAAGGGTGAAGACAGATGGACCTGGAAGAGCCAGGCCACAACCTCTGCCCCGACCCTGTGTCCCCACAGCTTCCAACATCCTGCTGAACAAGAAGGAGCGGAGACGAAATAGCATCAATAGGAACTTTGTTGGGGACTACCTGGGACTAGAGGAGCGGCCAGAGCTGCGTCAGTTCCTAGGCAAGAGGGAGCGAGTGGACTTTGCAGATTCAGTCACCAAATATGACCGCCGCTTCAAGGTGAGGCACGAGCGAGTGGGTATGTCCAGAACCCTGGCTCCAGCCTAGCACCCCCACCACAGGTACACCCTTACCTGGTTCAGGCACACCTGTCCACAGGTATATATAGTCATCTAGCCTAGATACACCTGTCCCATCATAGGTATACCCTCACCTCACCAGGACATACCTGCCTATAAATACATGCTCAATTAACATAGATACATCTGTCCATCAAATATGCCCATGTGTAGCCTAAACACACATCTGTCAGATGCATCTTCACCTAGCCAGTAACACAAATCTGTCCACAATTATACACCTCACCCAGAATTCCTGAGCACAGGGTAACCCTCACTTATCCTGGACACATCTATCCATTAGATGCACACACCTTCACCTAGTCTAAATAGACCTGTCCATTAGACACACCTTCACATGGCCCAGATACACCTGTCCATAGGTAGTCTCACTTGGCCTGGCCACCCACGTCCAGCAGGTTTATCTTCACCTAGCCTGTACCTGTTCACTGACCCAGACATCCCCCTCTAGTCAATATACTCTTAATTAACCTATTTATTATAGAATATAACCACTCATACACCTTCACATGGAGACAGCCTTATCCACCTGACCTGTCAGTGCCATCCCCTCCTTGAAATTGATCCCTATGCCCAGGGCTCCTGTCATCATCCTCTCTGGTACTGCATCCTCACAGCCCATCAAGAGGGACTTGATCCTGACACCCAGATGTGTATATGTGATCGGGCGGGAGAAGGTGAAGAAGGGACCTGAGAAGGGCCAGGTGCGTGAGGTCCTGAAGAAGAAGCTGGAGATCCAAGCCCTGCGGGGAGTTTCCCTCAGGTGAGGCCAGAGACCCACCTGTCCCATGGTCACTCTCACCTGTCCCTTGTCATTATCAGCTGTCCTCATACTTGTTACCTCATCTGTAACCCTGACCATCTTACCTACTTTCATACATACAACCCTCTCTTGGCCCTACCTGTCATCTTTACCTGCCTCCACACTCATGATCCTTATTTGCCAATGGCACCTGTCCCCTCACCTGACTCCTACCTGACCCTTTTCTATTACCACGTTTTCCAGCTCTATGACACTTCTCCCGTTTTCCCCCACCTGTGTAACTCCTCACTTGCCCCTTACTTGCCCCTCCCCCGTTACATCTCACATGTCAGTCCTTCTGTCACCCTCACTTTTCACTATCACCTGCCCTTTTTCCTGCCCCTCCCCCAGCACGCGACAGGACGACTTCTTCATCCTCCAAGAAGAAGCTGCCGACAGCTTCCTGGAAAGCATCTTCAAGACCGAGTTTGTCAGCCTCCTGTGCAAGCGCTTCGAGGAGGCAGCGCGGAGGCCCCTGCCTCTCACATTCGGCGACACGTAATGGCCCTCCCCCACCACCATCCTCAAGCTAGTCTAGGCACAGCAAAACCCTCTCCCACCCCACGGATCGAGCAAGGATGGGGTGGGGAGGGGAGTTGAACTCCCGCTTGGGAGGCAGCGCCCCCACAGCTCCCTCCTCTCCCCACAGACTACAGTTCCGGGTGAAGAAGGAGGGCTGGGGCGGAGGTGGCACCCGCAGCGTCACTTTCTCACGTGGCTCCGGCGACATGGCGGTGCTCAAGGCTAGCGGCCGTGCCCTCACTGTCAGCGTGGGTGACGGGCTGCCCAAAAGCTCTAGTGAGTCTGCACAGAAATGGGGGCGGAGCCAAAGTGGCGGGGCCAGTAAGCGACCAATCAATGCTTAAAAGGTGGAGCCAGTGAGGCGGGCCTAGAGTGGGTGAGGGCCTTGGAGGAGAGGGTCTAGAGAGATTTAGAGGGCAGGACCAATGACTGGGCGAGAAACTTGGAAAGGGCGAGGCCAACAGACACAGCCTGAGAGGGCTAAAAGATTGGGGCGGGCCCAGGGAGCCACCGAGAGGTGGGTCCTGGACGAGAGAGACCAATCACTGAGCGGAGCCAGCGAGACTGGGAGGTGCTGAGCCAAAACTGACTGGAATTGAGAGAGGGGCCAAAAGCCTGGTGTGGCCTGGTCACCACTCTAATCCCTACATCCTTTCCCCTTTCCTTTCCAGAGCCTACCCGGAAAGGAGTGGCCCAAGGAAAACCTCGAAGGTCGTCCCAGGCCCCTTCCCGGGCAGCCCCTGGGCCCCCCAGGGGTGAGGAGACGCCCCCACTAAGTGTTTTCCCTTGCCTCTTGTGGGCTCTATGACCTAAGCCAGACTTACTGTCAGCAGATTTTACAAGCAGAGTTGACCACGCTCTTCTCTGTCCAGAGCTCTCCACAGCTCCCCATCTCCCATGTAACAAAGGCTAAGCCTAGTTGGGTATTCAAAGCCCTTCGGAATCTGACCCCTGCTATAACCATTGACCTCTTCTCTCCTCTCATCCTACATTCTAGCCGTGCAAGCTACATCTTATTTTGCCAACTTACCAAATTTGTTCTTACCTGCAGGCCTTTGCTGGGTCTGTTTGCTCTGCCTATCTCTCAAATTCCCACTACACTTGAGCTCCTATTCATAAGACCCACCCAAAAAGGCCCTCCTACAGAAGCATGTGGGAGGAAATCTTACTCCTGCAGAGCCTTTCTCTGGTCCCTTCTGGTCCCTGTCTCCACCGGTTTCCATACTGGATTGAGAGTATGGCTGCTTCCTCCCTCTGACTGAGAACTTGGAATCAAATCCTCCCTGATACTTTTAGCAGCACCCTAATAAATGTCTCCATTCTCACTCTTGCCACAGGTCTGCACCACAATGGGGTGCCTCCCTCTGCCAGAGGGGGCCCTCTGCCTCTGGAGATCACATCTGGAGGGAGCTCTCAGCGGCCCCCCCAAGGACCTCCATCTTCAGCCCTGAGGGCAAGCAGACGACCCCGGGCACGGCCCCCCTCAGAGCACAACACAGAATTCCTCAATGTGCCTGATCAGGGTGTGGCCGGGTAGGTGGGGTGGGAGGGCAGCCCCAGGAGGTGAGCAGGCAGTGGGGAATATGGAGGGCTATGAAGGACACCCCCTGTGTTCACAGCATGCAGAGGAAGCGCAGTGTGGGGCAGCGGCCGGTGCCTGGTGTCGGCCGACCCAAGCCCCAGCCAAGAATGCATGGCCCGAGGTGCCGGGCACTGTACCAGTATGTGGGCCAAGATGTGGATGAGCTGAGCTTCAACGTGAATGAAGTCATTGAGATCCTCATGGAAGGTATGTGTGCATGGGGACAGAGATTGGAATAGTCAGAACCCTGACAGAACCAGGCAGCCCCCTCTGGTGGGAGAACAGAGGCTACCAGCAAGCTTCCAGGCCCAGTGAGAGATGCCCTTTTCTGAGCCAGTAGCTATATAAGCTAGAGGCCTGGGATGCAGGCTGCCCAGGAACCTGGTCTCAATTCGTCACACTTAGTACCCCATTTTTGTTATGTGGCTAATAGCAAAACTTCAGAGACCCCTTGTGAGTAGGAAATGGCCCATGTCTGGATGGCCCAGGCCACTTCCTATTTAAGACCCCTGGGCTGCCCCCAGAGGGGCCTGGGACTCAAGAGCACCCTCTGCAAGTGGGTGGGGAAGCCTCATGGAGGTCACTTATAGGTACACCCTCCTGGGTCCACCATAGGGATTGAGAGGAGGGGCCTGTCAGAGATGATGAGAGAAGAGTGAAAGTAAGTGGTCTAGAAAATGATGGAGTGTGAGCCAGTGACAAGGAAAGCCCATGTGGTCATCCCTCCCTCCCTCCCTCCTTCCCTCCCTCCTTTCCTTCCTCTGTCACTCTCTTTTCAGCCTCCACCTTATGCCAAACCAGTGGAAATGAATAAGACAGACAGTAAGCCAGCGTGGTTTTCTCTGGGGCAGGCTGGGCAGTGCCTCACACTCTCTTCTTTCCCACAGATTCCTCTGGCTGGTGGAAAGGCCGACTGCATGGCCAGGAGGGCCTCTTCCCTGGAAACTATGTGGAGAAGATCTGAGCCATCGGCCCAGGATACTGTTCTTCTGCCTGCCAGGGAGCCAGACCCTGCTGGCAGGGATCTCATTTCCCTTAACTGCATTACCCAGCAGGTCTAGTACTGTGGCCTCCAGCCTAGCCCAGGCCCTGAGTGAGTCTAAGGGTCACCTCTGCAGCCACCCCTGGGCCCTGGCCTCCCATGTCACACCCATTTCCTCCTGTGTCACACAGGGCTAATAGCAGAGCCTACCTCCCAGCTGCCTTATATGAAATGAGTCATGTCTTCTCAGCATGGGGCAAAGTGAGGAGGCCTTGACAAGCGTGACCTCCCTCCTGCTCCCTTCACTGAGGCAATAAATGTTTGTTTAGTAGAAGTATGAACTGACTGAGTGCTAAACTTCTCAAAACCTGGTGACATAGGAAGAGCAAATGCACGATTTTACAAATGGAAAAAAATGAAGGCTCTGAGGTTGAGTCACTTCAAGAGTCCCAGAGTCAAGACTTAAAAAGCTTCAGTTTGTCCACTTGCCAGCTTCTAGAAGCTGTATCCAGCTTTCCTACAGAAAATGGTCAGGTGGTCCTGTCAGATCTGAATCTACAGCCCCCAAACCCATCTGTGACCTGACTGGACCCTGAGGGAGGAGGCAGGTCCCACATGGCCCCCACAACGCACCCTGGGCCACTGTTAGTCCTTGCCTCCTACCCCATGTCTGTGCCTTTTAGCCCTCACTCCCCTGGGGTCAGGACCAGTTCTGACATTAAAAGGCCCTGGCTTTCTGCATTTATGGTCACAGGTGAAAGGGTCAATCTGGCTACTGGTCTCCCCAGCTGTCTCCAAACCCATGCTGAAGTCTAAGCCTTTGAGAACTCCATGCATTTGTAACTGAAACCAGCTCAGAGTTCTGCCTTGGTCTGAGCCTACAGATCCTGGCTTTCCTGGTGGACACCTCCTCTGTGCTCAACCCCTCAAAGAGCGGCCAGTCTGGGAGAATGGTGGGGTCAGGACTGAGCCAGAGAGGGGACAGGGGCTGACTGGCCAGCTGGGCCTTTTGCAGGATCCACATCCTCCCTCTTTTGTACCTATCTGGGGAAGCTAAGTTTGGCTGGGGGAAAAAAATTCCAAGGTTGCAACTGGATCTCAACAGCCCTTTTGTTAGCCAGTTGTTTTACAAAAGCATTTAGCCATTCCTTGAATGTCCCTGGTTCCTTCCATCTCTTATCTGCCCACTCTGCCCAACCACAGTGGTGCACATCTCTTGCTGCAAGACTTAGATGTGAGGACAGGCCAAGGGAAGGACAACCCACATAAGCCACTGACTTCATCAGCTGGGCATTTCCTGGGGCTGAGAGGAAATCAGGGCTTCGTCTCCCTTTATGCCCTAAACTTACCCTGCAGGATGCTGCCCTCCAAGTACTTTGGGGTACAGCCCCTTGGCTTCTCCATTTCCAAACCATGGCAGGCACCACCTATGCAGGAAGTAGGGCCTTCTGGATAGGTTGGATGAATGAGGTTTGGGTGGGACAGTGAGTATAAAGAAAGGAGTGGGCTTAATATATTCTAATAGCTTCTCACATCTAAGTGACAGCATCTGTAAACCTGTCAGTTTGGCCCTGCCCACACAGCCCACATCCTGTTGACTCTTTTACAAAATTTCTTAAGTCCAGCCCCTCCTTTCCGTGGGTCCCTCTCCTTTCTGAGGCCTCACCCAACCCTTCCCCAGATTGCACCAATCTCCCCTGCACATGCACTTCTCCACCCTGCATCAAAATGGCTTGTTTTTGAAGTTGTTAACTGTATTAAAGATAAAAGAAAAAAATTTAAATTCAAACTGCATAAAAGCTTGAAAAATCTACCTCTCCCTCCCTTAAAAGTTCCCCTCCCCAGTTTTTAATGTATCCTTCTAATGGTATTCTCTGCATGTAAAAGTACATAGGTACATCTTATGTACACAGATGGAATTACCTTGCATATAGTCTACAGTTGCTTAGAACTCAACAGACACCTCTTGAATGGTTAAATAATGTATTATAGAGCTGATATCAAAGATCCACTTCACTGTCCCTCAATAGCCCGCTTTCCAAAAGACTGCCAGGGATCAGATGGTGTACCTTCCCTAACTGGAAACTCATCAGGGTCTAGAATAGAAACCACAGTCCTCTCTCCACAGTTCACAAGACCCTGTATGACTCTCCCAGCACCATCTTCACCTTCTGACCTCCACACCCTGCCTCCACTCTGCTCCAGCATCCACTGATCTCACTGTTCCTTGAAAAAGACAAACTTGTCCCTCCCCTCCCCTCCCCTCCCCTCCCCTACTCAGGACATTGGCACCAGCTACTACCCACTCTTTCCAGAGTGCTCTGCCTCAATCACCTTCCAATGACTCATGCCTTCCTATCAGGCAGCAGCTCAGAAATCACCTCACAGAGGCTTCCCTGACCCAGCACTATCACATTCTTCTTTTTTTTCTTTGTAGCACTTAACAAAATCTAAGGCCATTTTCTGTATTTGTTGTTGTTTTTTTATGTTGTTTCCCCATTTTAAAATGTAAGTGGCCCTAGGGGACAGGGATGTTTGTCGGTGCTATTCGTCTGAGTCCCCCAGAACCTAGCACACATTAGGTTGGATAGGTGACTCATTTCATGCCAGGACACCAGTGCCATCCTCCTGGAAACACACCTCTCCTGACAGATTACTTCTAGCCCTTAGCTATTACAACGGACCCACTCCAATTTCAGAACTAAATGCACTGAAAATTTTGATGGCCATTGCCAATTTTTTTTTCCAAAGTGGCTGCCCACTGAACATCACCTTTTCCAAAAAGAAGAATCGCCTTTCCAGGGCTGGTGACAGAACCAAAGGGGATGAAGATGCCCATTTTGCAGGCGAATACATAGGCCAGGATAGATTTTAATCCCAGATCTCAGCGCACAGGTTTTTTTCTTAAGATTTTATTAGTTTTAGAGAGATGAGAAGGGAGGAGGGAAAAAGAGGGAAACATCGTTGTGCGAGTTCGGTTGCTACCGCACGCCCCCTAGCGGGAGCCTGGTGCCAATCCAGGTACGTTCCCCGACCCGGGAAACAGACGACTTTTCGGTGTGCGGAGGACGCCCAACTCACTGAGCCACACCAGTCTGGGCTCAGCACTCAGACTCTTAAAACTGCCGTGGCCCTTGGCTTCCACGTTCGCCGCCGGAGCTCCTTCTAAGATCCAAGAGAACCCTAGCTACCAGGCCCCGCCTCCTCACGGAGGGCCGTGCGCAGAACCGCCACGCTCTCGCGAGAGCTTGAAGGCGGAAAATGGCGCTGACGTGAGCGCGGGCCCTGGGCGCCCAGGGACTCGCCACAGCCTCAGCTGGAGCTGCAGGAGCTGCGGGAACAGGAGGCCTAACGCGGCCGAGGATGGTGAGCGTGGCACCAGGGACAAGGGAACGGTGAGCCAGCGAGGGCTGGCGGGGAGCGGTCCCGTCGCGCACACACCCAACAGCTGACCCCGCCCCCACACCCTGGCACTCGCCCCGCCGCTAGTTGTCACTCGGCGAGCGCCCTACCCCCCACTTCCGGGCCGGACTTCGACTGGGCCACGCCCACAGGGCTCGGGCTCCGCCCCTGGCCTAATTGCAACCGGTCCTCCAGCATCTTCAAGTTTGCCTGCACAGCTCTAGCCCCGAGGGGGTATGTGTGTATGGATATATACATGAGGATATATATATCCTCAAACAATCCACTTGGGCACCCCGGCCCCATCGGCATCTTCCTAGCCCTGTCCTGTCCAGAGCTCCGCCTTCACAGCATTTGCTCCGCCTACTCTCCCTAGGCCACACCCCTACCGAGTAGGGGGGCTTCCCTCGTTTCCCAAGTTGCGGGAGGAGAGGCTGCTGCTTTGAAATGGGCAGTTCCTGACAGATGTCCCCTTCTACTTTTGGAACACTTCCCAACTAACTCCTTGCTTGGGGATGGAGATAAATGACAGGAACTCAGTCCACACTCAAACCTTGCCCTCCCTTGATGGTAACTCCTTAGAGTGGGGGCTAATATCTCGAGGGCATTCGCTGCTTCAGGAATGCACTACAGCCTTGGGGATGGGGGATTTCCTGGCTGACCCCAGCAGACTCTGGGCCCAGAAGGGTTCTGCCCACCTATTTCTTCCACCAGGAGGAGGAACCCTCTGGGCTTAGCCCAGACATGCTGGCCACTGCAGAGCCCAGCTCCAGTGAGACTGGCAAGGAAGTGTTATCCCCAGGTGTGACTGCTGCAGCTACCTCTTTCTCAATGGGGGAGGAATCAGGTCCAGACCAGACAGCCACACCCCCAGTGTGGGACCGTGGAGGGCTTGAAGGGGCCCAGCAAGGTTCCTCCTCAGCTCCAGACAGTGAACAACCTGGCTCTGGACCCAGCCTTGGCTCAACCAGCACAGTCTCCGGGACCAGTGAGGACCTTCGGCCTCCCAGGCGACGCCCACCACAAGGTGACCTGTGATGGGGCCTTCTGTGGGGTCACAGGCCTGGAGTGAAGAGTGCAGAGTACCTGCATACTTGGGGCTTATCTAGAGAGAATTGCCATTTACTGAGCACCAAGTGATGAGCCAGGCCAACTCAGCCCCTGCCCTCTGGCAGCAGAGTCTGGTGGAGGAGGCAGATAGTAAAGGCCCCAGTAGGAAACCATAGGGTAAATGCCTCTCTGGTGCAGAGCTCTGGAAAACTTGGGGGTGGGGAGGTGGGGGGAGCGGGCAGGAAGGATGGGCAACCCTGCTCTGTATATCCTGTAGGAAAGCAGATACCCTGCTCTAGCCCTGGCTGCTGCCTCAGTTTCCCCAGCATTCGTGACTTGGCACAGCATCTTCGCACCCATTGCCCACCCACACAGTCCCTGGAAGGTAGGACAAGGGTAGGGGGTGAGAAGCATATTGGTGTGGGAGGCAGACAGAGTTCCCAGGCTGACCCTTGGCCACCCCACCCCACTCCTCTGTCCTCCACCCCTGCCCTGCCAGGCAAGCTGTTCCGCTGTTCGGCCCTGAGCTGCACGGAGACTTTCCCCAGCATGCAGGAACTGGTGGCCCATGGCAAGCTGCACTACAAACCCAATCGCTACTTCAAGTGAGACCCTGACCACCCAACCTTTGGTCCTCCTTGACCAGGCCCCAGGCAGCTCTTCCTGCTCCTGGTGTGGCAGCCAGTACCTGGGGTCCAGGCCCTTCCATTTTCTGGTAGGGGGCAGCAGTTGGGGGGGGCGGGGGGTTTGACCTGGAAGTGGATGTGTGACCTTGGGCAAGCCCTGCCCTTATCTGCACTAGGGAGACTGGTACCTAGGGCCAGGTCCAGGAGACTGGAAGGGGGCGGGGGGGGGGGGGGGGCTCACGTGGGTATGGCTCTGCCCAGTCTCACCCCCAAGAGGAAAGTTGATTGTCTCAATGAAAATTGAGACCTCATCCTCGTTTTCCCAGGGCTCCCTTGAGGAGGAGTCTAGATGGGTTGCCACCACAGTAGGGGGGTGCTTAGGGCAAGCTCCTGCCCCGCAGGTAGGGGATCTGATTTGGATGCGGGTTCCCTTACCACACTCTCTAGGCGGGTCCCCAGGTAGCATCCTATAGGCTCATCCTTGGTCCCCCGGAGATCCAGCCCAGCCCTGTGCCCACCCCAGGTGTGAGAATTGCCTTCTGCGCTTCCGCACGCACCGCTCACTCTTCAAGCATCTTCATGTTTGCGCCGAGCAAGGGCAGAGCCCAGCCCCACCACCACCCCCAGCCCTCGACAAGGAGCCATCTGCGCCAGAACGCCCCCTGGAGTCCGATCCTGCATCAGCGCCCAGCCTGCAGTTTCCGCTTCTCGAGCCCTTCATGACCCCCGCCCCTGCCCCCACTGGGCCCTTCCTGCCCTACTTGAACCCCACACCCTTTGACCTAAGCCCCCCACGCCTGCGCCCCTTCCTGGCCGCTGCACCTGGGCTGCCAGCCTCCAGCGCCGCCGTGTGGAAAAAGAGCCAAGGTGAGTGTAGTGGCAGGACCTCTAGAAGGGTGGAATGGGCTCTGCCTTTGCTGAATTCTGATCTTGACCCCGTCCATTCACTGCAGGTGCAGGAGGCAGTCCTCGGAGACCCCAGGGCGGCTCCGATGCGCCCTCAGGTGCGTGCAGGTGACCACCAGGGCGGGATGTTGAGGGTTTCTGTCCTGTACTCTGCCAGGCCCAGGAGATTGTGTTGGCCAAAAAGTTCGTTTGGGTTATTTTCCCTGTAAGATGGTTCTAGTAGCACTTAGTTGTTTTTAACTTCATTCGAAACAATTCTGTTAGATTGTATTCTGACAGCTGTCATATCAGCATGCATTTTAAAAAACTTATAAAAATTGATGAATTTTTGTGTAGTCATTTTAATATTGAAGATGGGAGAAAATAAGCAACATTTTCATCATATTATGCTTTTATATTATGCATATTATGCTTTATTATTTCAAGAAAGGTAAAAATACAACTAAAACAAAAGAGACTTGTGTAGTGTATGGAGAAGGTGCTGTGAGTGATCAGATGTGTCAAAAGTGGTTTGTGAAGTTTTGTGCTGGAGATTTCTCACTGGATGATGATGCTCCATGGTCAGGTAGACCAGTTGAAGTTGATAAGAGATCTAATCAAGACATTAACTGAGAACAGTCAACATCACACCACATGGGAGATAGCCAACATACTCAAATAGGCAAATCAAGTGTTGAAAATCATTTGCACTAGTTTGGTTGTGTTCATTGCTTTGATGTTTGGGATCCACATAAGTTAAGCGAAAAAAACCTTCTTGACCATATTTCCACATGCAATTCACTACTTAAATGGAACAAAAACATTCCGTTTTTAAAACAAATTGTGACAGGTGGTGAAAAGGATACTTTACAATAATGTGGAACAGAACAGATCATGGGACAAGTGAAATGAACCACCACAACCACACCAAAGTCCGGTCTTCATCCAAAGAAGGTATTACTGTGATACGGTGGGATTGGAAGGGAGTTCTCTATTACAAGCTCCTTCCAGAAAACCAAATGATTAATGCCAATAAGTACTGACCCCAATTAGACCAAGTGAAAGCAGCATTGGATGAAAAGCATCCGGAATTAGGCAACAGAAAACAAGTAATCTTCCATCAGGATAACAGAAGACCGCATGTTTCTTTGATGACCAGGCAAAAACTGTTACAGCTTGGCTGGGAGGTTCTGATTCATCCACGGTATTCACCAGATATTGCACCTAAGGGCTTCCATTTATTTTGGCCTTTATAGAATTTTATTAATGGAAAAAATTTCAATTCCTTAGAAGATTGCAAAAGGTACCTGGAACAGTTCCTTGCTCAAAAAGATAAAAAGTTTTGGGAAGATGGAATTATGAAGGTGCCTGAAAGGTGGCAGAAGGTAGTGGAACAGAAACAGTGAATATGTTGTTCAATAATGTTATTGGTGAAAAACAAACTTTTTGGCCAACCCAATACTAGAAAGCAGTAGTGCCAGCCCTGAAATACAGGATTTTTTCCTTAAAAATTACTAGCCTGCGCCTTCATTGGTGTAAAGCTTGTGCTCTGCAGGGGTTCTGGGGTTGGGAATGGGGGACACAAATCAAATTGAATGTCCCCAATTCCAGGGGGAACACACCTGGGGGAAGCCAGGCCAGACCCTCCAACACCCGCGAGCTGATGGGGAGGTGGGGAAGGGTCCGAAACGCTCTTGCCCGTGACCACCGTCCTCTGGGTGGACACGACCTCTGGGCTGGGGCCAGGACTGACGGGCCCACCTGCCCGCAGGGCATGTGGCCCCGAGCCGCATCTTATGGGAGCATACGCGTGGCCGCTACTCGTGCATGCAGTGCGCCTTCTCCACGGCCTCGCGCCCCGCCATGACCCTACACCTGGAGGACCACCGCCCTACCGCCCCCGTGGCCTCGGTGCCCCAGCAGCCACAACCCGAGGCCCCGGCGGGTAAGGTCTGGGAGTGCTGGGATAGGGAGGACGAGGGACCCCCAAAGTAAGGGATGCACTGAGGCTCAAGTGCCTCCTCCTCTGCCCCACCCAGACCGGGCCCTGCTTGCACCCAAGATGTCGTTGCTGCTCTCTGAAGGGGAGTGTCCAGTTTTCTCACCATTCTGAACCCTGTTGCACAGAGGTCATAGAGGTCATGAGGTGTGGGTAGTTTTGTAATTTTAGGGGGGCCTGAAATGGATGGGGTGGGGGGACAATAAAAGGCACAATGAACTGGCCTGTGCTGTGTCCCTTGCCCTCTGATGCACAGCAGCCTACCTAGCAGTCTTGGGTGCCCCCACCCAACTTGGGAGAGGGCAGGCCTCCCATCAACATCCACCTGTATCCCACCTCCCCTGTCACCTTAACATGGGACCTATTCTCCAGCTCAGTACTGTTCACTGTCCACCTGGCAGCTTGCTTTCTTTTGTTTTTCTTCTTAAGATTTTATTTATTTATTTATTTACTTACTTACTTACTTACTTATTTATAGAGAAAGGGGAAGGGAGGGAGAAAGAGAGGGAGAGAAACAACAATGTCTTGTGTGCCCCCTACTCGGGACCTGGCCTGCAACCCAGGCATGTGCCCTGACCAGGAATCAAACTGGTGGCCCTTTGGTTCGTAGGCCAGTGCTAAATCCACTGAGCCACACCAGCCAAGGCTTCTTTTCTGTTTTCTTTCCCCTCCCCTCCCCCTCCCTCCCTTCCTGCCTTCCATTTAAACTACTGAGCATCCATGGGGAACACAGGCAGGGAGGCTTGATGCTGAGAAAGTGCTGGGACTGACTCAGCTGGAGTCCCCCCAGGACCCAAGACCAATGGTGACTCACAGGGAGGGGAAAGGATGGTAGGGCTTCCTCTCTGTAGGGCAGGGCTGGGGCACCAAATCAGGGCACTGGCAGGCTGGAACTCGGGCCTCATCCTGTCCTGCTGCATCCTCCCTTTGCCCCAACTCTGAGGAGGAGAGTGGGTCAAGGTAAGCCCTGGGGAGCCTGGGCTCCCTTCTCTCTTTACCCATTCCCCATTCTGGTCCCCCTCTTCCTTTTCTTCGTGGGAATCAGTTCTGAGTCAGGGTGCAAACTCAGGCCAGGGTTTGGCCATGCTGCTGTTTCAGCCCTGCTGCCACCAAAATTTCGTGGGCCCAGCTTCTGGGTATGGAAATCCCATGTGTTCCTGGCTTCCAGCCTCATAGTACCCTAGCCCATGTCTCACCCTCTCCCCTTCCTGGGGCACCTGAAGCAATTTTCCCCACCCTTCCCCCCAGTCTGAAGACCCCTGAAAAACCAGTCTTTTCTGATTGTGCCTCTCCCCTTCCAAAAACCTTCAGTGGCTCCCACAGCATCCCAAATGAACAGCCTGCCCTAGTAGCCCAGAAGCCCCATCTTGAACCTCCCCATGCCTTCCCAGGGCCCCACCAACCATCTCCTTCCTTCTCTGCCTCCTGAGGAATACAGACATCCTGTGAACAAGCACCCCCAGGCCCCTGTTGAGGTGGTTGCTACTCAGTACCAGCTGTGGGGCTCAATGTGCCATCAAGGAATGGGGCTCCAGGGCCCCTGCACTCCCCGTTTCCAAACTAGAAGCCTTGGAACCATGACTGTGGTACTGGGGAGGGAGACTCAGCCTCCCTACTTCTCAACTGCCTCATCCATTAAAATGGGTGTTATCATGGTCACCCTGGAGTCCTCCTGAGGATTCAAAGAGGGACTGGGGAGAGAGGGAGGGGTCTTCACATCCTTCTGGCCACCAAACCCCGTGGCTACCTGGACCTGTTCAAGAACCTCAGGAGGAGATGGGCAGGGTCAAGGGGCCTGGGGTTTTTGTTTAAGATTTTATTTATTTCTAGAGGGGAAGGGAGGGAGAGAAACATCAATGTGTAGTGTTGTCTCACGCCCTCAACGAGGGACCTGGCCTGCAACCCAGCATGCACCCTGACTGGGAATCAAACAGGTAACCTTTTGGTCCACAGGCCAGTATTCAATCCACTGTGTCACACCAGCCAGGGCAAGGGGTCTATTTTACAGATACAAAAGGTTAGGCCAGGAGGGTAAGTTAAGGGAGCCATGATTCTAGCCAGGCCCAGTTCCAAGTCATTTGCTGATTCCACACCACCTTGGAAGCTGGGCATGGTTACTACCTATGAGAAAACCCAGGTAGCAGGGCCCCAAAGGCATTCTCCCTTTTTCCTGCATCTCCAGGGACAAGATTTAGTGGTCCAGGTTCCCTAGGTCACCAACTCATCTTTAGGATACAAGGGGTTTGCCAGCCCCCAGTAGTTTTCCTTTCCCATCAAGTCCTTCATTCAGCCACCCCCAGATCTAGGTGATGGCACTTCCCAGACTTTCCAGAGAGACCCAGGGCCATTTTTGGTCCAGATACGCCCCCACCCCCACCTCATCACCTACATGGGTACAGTCACCCCTCCCATGAGTACAAAGGGTCCACAGCTCCTGTTGCCCTCCAGAGCCTGTGGAAGCTGCCCTGAGGCCTATGGAGCCAGGTCACCACAACCTGATGTGGGCTGCTGCCCACTCCTAAAACACCTCCTCCCTCACCCCTCCCAACTCATATCCAACTTTATCTATGTGCCTGAGAAGCATTACTGCTCCCAGTGTCCCTTCTAGGCTCCTGCAGCCCCTGCCCTCCCTCTGGCCAGACTATGACCCCACAGATGGTTCCCCTACCTTATCCTGACTCCAGCATGCCTGAAAGCTGAGTCCTAGTGGGCCCAGCAGAGGATGCCCAGGAGCGTCAGTCTGAGGAAGAATGAGAGGAGCCTGCTGATCAAGGCCAGCACTTGTACAACTGCCCCAACATAGGCAGGTGGGTCCAGAGACTGCAGCTTCATGTTGAACAGGTGAGCCAAGTGCCCTTGAGGTGTGCCTGGTGTCCGTCCACTGCCAGGCAGTGGTCTAGCACCAACTCCATCGCTGGGAGTGCCCCCTCAGTTACCCTCACCCAGGACTGGGAGAGGAAGTGAAGGCTCCTGATTCGGGCCCTAGCACCCATCCCATCCCCAGCTCCTGATCCTCAGCTGCCCACATGCCCAGCCCTCCTGCTGCTCTCAGGCCACATGTGGCTGTACCAGAGACTGCAACCCCAACCCCCCACATTAGGGCAGCACCAACTTATGCAGGGATAGGGAGCACTAGCTCCTGCTCCCCACGTGCACTTGGAACCCAGTGGCTTCCCTCCCTGGACTGCTGAGTCCCACACGTTCAAAACCTCAACAAACCCCTTCCAACATCCTCAGCTCCCTGAGGCAGACCCTGGACCCAGCTCATTTCTCCAGGCTTCCAGTTCCATAGCTCCAGGTGCAGCCACCGGCCCCTTGTTCACTGGTTCAAGCCTCCAGAAAGGGACAAAACACGAAGAGGAGAGGGGGTCATATGCCCCCTGGGGACCATGCCCAGATCATGCCCTGCAGGGGCTCATCTAAGGAAGGACTTTCCAAACTTCGGAGTTCTGCACTGGGTTTGTCCACACCCAGTAGCCTTCGCAGAGCCTTGAGAGTCGAGAGTCACTGTGGTCATTCATTCAGTCCTTTAGCTTACATTTTATGCCCTCAGCCAATCAGCCCTTGTTCTTTCATTCATTCTTTCCCTCACTCACAGAACCATGGGAGGCTCAGTCTGTGACCAGCCTCATCCTGGAGACCTAGAGAGGCCCAGACCTCACCATCCTTGCCCTCCTGGGACCCCCATTCAGAGGGTGACCTACATCTGGGAATGTGACTGAGGGAGCATGTCTGTGCAGGGACAGGGGTGCACAGGCGCAGAGGTTCCAGAGTCAAAGCAGACATGCAGATAGGCAGACATTTCCAGTCAGGGCCTGCAGCCTCCTGAAAGGGCAGGCAAAAAAGAAGGGCTCCTGCTGCGAATGCAGGTCCTCAAGACAAAGTCCCTCCTTCCCTGTTCTCAACTGGATCTTTCTGTGTCCTTGTTACTCCAGGTGTGAGCCTAGACCAGCAACAAGGGCATCACCTGGGATGTTGCAGAATGTGAGGCCCAACCACTGAATGGAGGCAAACCTTCATTTGAACAATGGGGACTGCTGGTGCCCCATGGCTACCAGCGCTTCTCAATTAGCTGGCTGCACATTAGAGTTGCCCAGCAAGTGTCTAGGAGTGGCCACACCCAGACCAATTAAGTCAGAATCTCCAGGAGCTTGTCTCTGTGAGAAACAGGGCTCTGCCCTCTCCCAGTGGGCTGGCCTCCCAGGGTCTCATCGGGCTGGGCCCCACATCCTGACTACGCTTCTTTGCTCACTACCATCACCCCCTTCACTGGCCTCCCAACTGTCTCAATTTTTCACCCACCTTCTGTGCACTGGGAACCGGGGTGTCCTCAGACTCCCTCCCCGTCCTGGGCCAAGGTCTTGGACACTCGCCACCTACCCACCCCACCCAAATCTGCCATCCCAGTGGGCCATCCACAGCCCCATGTGACATCTGCCCCTGCAATAGGGAAGTCCTGCTCAGAGCTGAGAAGTGGACAAGGAAGTGTTGAAATGAGGAGGGCAGATGAGGTAAGGAGGAGCAAAAGGGCCTTGCCCACCACACTTGAAGGACACTGGGGTCTCCCGCCCAAAGCAGACTATACCCCTTCTCCACTGAGAATGACCCCCATCCCCCGCCCTGTGGAGGCCCCGGCAGAAGGTGGCCTCAGCCTGCCTCTGTTGGCAGGAGTTCCTCAGGGTTTGGCGCCAAGTCCTCCCTGGGGCCCAGAGGTTTGCAGGGCATGTGGTGGAACTGAGGGGGAGGAGAACAGCAGACAGCCAAGAAACCAATGACTGTTGTAAATGTGCTGACCTCCAATGCCTAAAGTGCAGACACAGTAGCAGGCAGATCAGAAACTCGAGGTTCTGGACAGGACCTGAGGACAAGCCCAGGCTGTCCCCGCCTCCTCTTCTTCCTCCTCTGCCCTCTCTACCCTGGGGCCTGTGGAGCAGAAGCTACATCCACTTCCTGAAAGCAGCAGCCCCAGCTCAGTTCCACTCTCACTGTGATCACCTGCCTGCCGCTATGGTGAGTCCCCAAGCCCTTGGGGAGCCCCGTTGGCTGGAAGCAAGGGGTGTCATGGGTGGAAATGGGGGCATATTCCAAGAGTGCAGCAGCAGAGAAAAACCATCTGGGAAACAGAAATGACCCACACAAAAGCCCAGAAGTGGGAAGTGGCTAAGACACACCTCTGGGACAGACTGAGCTTGCGACTCTTTAAGGGGGACTGGTGGGACTGCTCAAACCAACTCCCTTCCCCCAAGGTGAGCATGAACAGCAACCTGGTAACAGACAGCCAGGGTGAGCACAGGGACTTCCTGTGAGTAACAAAGTGGGTTAGGCACCCACTGCCTGTCCCCACCCCAGCCAGTCACCCTAGGCATGACCTTCTGGCCCTGTGGGTCACCTGGGAGCCCTTGCTACAACCCACTGGAGGTAGGAGACCTTTTACAGAGGCACTTCAAGCAGGAGTTGCCATCTTTTTTCACTATCTCTGGTTGGAAAAGAAGCACAAGCAGGGGGAGAGGCCATGCGTTTCTTTCTGACCTTCCCCTCCCTCCCTCCATCTCCTTGACCCCAGGTGAAGCCATGGCCAGGAGACTTGTGGCAGGGCCACCTCCAGTGAACTTGTCATCAAAACAGGTCTGGCCTAGTTTGTGCATGTGCCTGTGTCTGAGCAATGGTGTGGCACTGTATTGAGGAAAGACCACATGTGCTATAGGAGGCTTTATGCCTGACCATGCCTGTACTCTGAGGCCTGCCTGCCACTTCTCATGGACAATGTTGACTGTTGGGTATCCCTAGCCATCCACACAGGCATCTGGGACTGTAAGAGACCCTGCACCCACATTTGCCTCCAGGTTCCTGAGTGTCTGCATGGGAGTCTGTGACTGTCACACTGACTTTGTGCCCTCTGTGTTATTTCAACAAATATTTACTGAGCACCTACTGTGCGCCAGGCCCTGGGAGGACAGTGATGAATGAGCCAAGTCACTCCCCACACATTTAAAAAACAATGTAAGAGGTTGGAAATTCAGCGTTAACAGGCTTTGGCTGGCTGCTGTAAAGGTACTAATCAGAGGTGGAGGCTGAGCAGGAGTCCAAGGAGGAGGCAACAAGAAGGTGCCTCTGTTGGGTGACAGTGCTGCCTGCAGACAGAAGTAGCTGGATTCCAGGTGTATTTTGCAATTAGAACAGAAGGGACTGGAGACCTGGCGATTGAAAGAACACGAGAGGGCAGTGTACATCTATGACCATGTCCATGTGTCTCCACATGGGTCTCTCCACATCTCCCATGTGGATCAGTTCCCACCTGCCTGTATCCCCGCAGGGGAGCCATCAGGACTTCCGGAGGCTTCAAGCAAAGTTCCAGGCCTCTCAGGCTGGGATCGGTGAACTATCCCCAAAGCCTGAGTTCAAGAAACTCCTCAAGAAGTTTCCACAGCCTGAGCCCAGTGAGCCTGCCAAGAAGTCTCTGCAGCTAGAGTTCACTGATCTCCCGAAGAAGCCCCCGCAGCCCGAGTTAAGTGCAGTGCCCAGGAAGCCCCCGCAGCCCGAATTCACTGATATCCCCAGGAAGCCCCCACAGCCCGAATTCAGTGCGGTGCCAAGGAAGCCCCCGCAGCCCGAGTTTGCTGATCTCCCACAAAAGCCCCCACAGCCCGAGTTTGCTGATCTTCCCAAAAAGCCCTCCAAATCTAAGCCCTGTGAAGTCTACAAGAAGTTCCCACAGCTAGAGGCCACTGCATTCCCCGGGAAGCCCCCACAGCCTGAGGTCAGTGAGACCCCTCAGAAGGCCTTGCAGTTGGAGCCCAGTGCACTTGCCCAGAAGCCCCTGCAGCCAGACCTTGGCAACCCCACCAGGCCCCCCACAGAACCCAAATTCAGTACATCCCCTAGGAAGGTCTGGCAGCCTGAGCTCAGTGAGGCCATCTCGAAGCCACCAAAGCCTGAGTTCAGTACCCTTCCAAAAAAGCCCCCACACCCTGAGTTCAGTGGGTTCCTCACAAAGCCCCAGCAGCCTCAGGTGTCCCCCAGGAAGCCTGAGCCCAGTGAGCCCCGCTCCAGCTTTTCACAGCCTGACCTCAGTGCCTCTCCAAAAAAGACCCCACCACCTCAGCTGAGTGACCTCCCCAAGAAGCCCCTGCAGTCTGAGTTTGGTGACCTCACCAGGACATCCTCGGAGCCTGAGGTCTGTGTGATTCCCAAGAGGCCACAGCAGTCTGAATTCAAAGTACCCGCTAAGCCCCTGCAGCACAAGCTAGGCAGCCTCCCCAGGACATCCTCAGAGCCCGAAGTCAGCCTACTCCCCCCAAAGTTCCTGCAACCTGGGGGCCGGGGGACCCCCCGCAAGTTCTCACAGCCTGAGCCCAATGCTCTGCTCAAGAAGTCCCTTCAAGCGGAGTTCTTTGGGGATCCTACTAGAAAGCCCCCACTGCCTGGCTCTGTTTCCGAGAGTTCACTGCTGTTGGCTGTTGCAGCCTCCAGCCCCAGGTCCCCACTGAGCCCTGGGTTTGGAGCTAGGCAGCAGAGGTCAGTTCTCACTCACAGTAGAGCATCAAAGCTGGGCCTCAAACCCGGCTATCCACTCCGGCAAAGGCCTCTGCCTCCAGTCAGCAGCCTGGGACCCCCTCCAGTCAAACCCCCAAGGCCACCAGGCCTCAAGGACATCCTGAGCTCTCAGAGGCCCGCAGCAGCAGCCACAGGTGGGTCAGGGTGCCCCAGGCCGAAAGGAGGGGCAGAGGCTCCCTGGCTGTGCCAGCGTCCCTCCTGCGCTTGTCTTTCCACAGCTCTGCGGAGGGCCCGCTCTTCTGCTGGAATCCACTTCTGGGCCCCACAGCCTACGGATATCCAGAAGTGAGTGTGGGGAGTGAGGGGACACAGGCGAGGGTCGTTGGCTGAACAAGGCCCTCATCTCAGATATCCCTGCAGGGACCCAGAGATCTACGAGCTGTATGATGATGTAGAGGTGACAGACTCCAGTCCCAGCCCCAAGGGCAAAGGTTTGTTGGTGGTGGGGGTGGACCCAGCCAGGCTGGGTGCCTGGGATCCATTTGTTGCAAGGGCCTTTTCTGCCACACTGCTGGTGTTAAGGCAGATCACCAATCCAGCTCCCTAACGGTGTAAGGGAAAGCAGGGAAGGACCACCCTTTCAGTAGGGTCACATCAGTTCCTGGTGGGTGGGACAGTGTGGTGACTGGCAGCACAGAGGCGAAGAGCCAGCGAGCTCAATGTAGCCAGGGCAGAGGTGTGGCCCAAGATGACAATGGAAGTCAAGTAAAGAGTAGCAAGAAGACTTGGCAGCGTATTATGCAGGGGCAAGAAGGAGCAAGCGAGCTTGGCATGGATGAGGCGCAAGTTTGGAGCCTTGCACCTGGGTACAAAGTGAAGCCATCCCTGAGTTCAGGAGAAGGAAAGTGCCAGGTTCTCTTACAGACCTTTGTGTTGGAGGTGCCTATGGACTTGGGCCTGGAACTCAAAAGATGTGGGCTGGACATAGGGTGTGGTCCTCACACCTCTCTCTCTCTCTCTCTCCTTTCTGCCCAGTCTCTGCTCCTGGAGAGCAGTATACTGGCTTATCAGGCCCATGCCTCCAGCCCAGCACCAGGTTTAAATGCCTTCGCCAAACTTGAGCGAAAACAAAAATGGCTTCCACACCAGCACTTTACATGTGTGTCACGGAATCTGCAAAATCCCATGCCCAAGGCATTGTCATGCCCACTTTAAAGATGTGGAAGTTTGAGGACCAGAGAAGCTACCTGCCCCAGCTCACACTGCCAGTATGCAGGAGCCCAGGCCCCCTGCTTCCATGCTTCCCTGGCTTCAGAAGGGCCTCATGTGAGAGAACCCTCCACCAGGGGTGTCTTTAGGGTACTACCTCTTCCTCCCCATTAGCAGTCCCCACCCACGTCTGCTGCCTCTGTGGCTGCTTCTCCTAGGCTTTCCCCAGAGGCTGCTTGCAACAGCCTTCCATTAGCAGTTAGCACAGAGCTTCCTGACAGGGCCTCTCTAGCTTCCGCTCCAGCGGAGTTCTGTGGCTGTGCTCTGGGGATCACTGAGGGGGAAAGGAACACTCAACTTCCAGCAGCCTTGCTGGCCTGGCCCACACTTCCCTGTTCCCCAACCCCAACCAGACCAGGCACAACTCCACCTCTGCTCACTGTCCCTACATTGAATTGTTCCTCAAGATTCTAATCAAATACTGCAATTCCCTTATCTTTCCCTTCTTGAGGCAGTGTGGAGCCTACTGTCAGTATGTCCTTTTCAAGTCTACCCTCCTACTCTCCACCTCACTCCTACAAGCAGCTGCTCCACTGCCAAGGTTCCCTGCACAGCTGGGAACCAGGCCCAGCTCTTTCCCAGGATCTAAGCAAGCCACCTACAGGAGCCTGCCTTCCCCAAAGGGCCTGTTCTGGGTCACATTGCCAGGAAGCTTGGGCCACAGGTGCACCAAACCCACCCACACCATAGTGCCCAGTGGTGTGCTCTGTGCTGCAGTGCGTTTGTAGGGACCCTGGGTGCTCCTATGAAGACTGCTTCCAGATGGGTGAACATCCCTGGTCTGGGCAGCCTTTGGAAGACGTAGCAGCACCTGGAGGGAGTATTCTGGGTGGGACAATGAATGGCACCATCATTTGAGCATCAGGCTGAGGCTGCAGGCAACCTCAGTGTCTAAAGGGATGAGAGCACCAGGAAAATACCCTCAGTGGGCTACTCAATGGAAGAGACTGCTGACCTGAAATGTCAAGATGCTTAGAGTCATTCCGAGACAACAGTGAAAAGCTGGGGGCTTTACTCACCTGTTTGTGAGGCTTTCACTGTCAGTCAGTCCCATGACCAACACCTCCTACCTGGAAGGCTGGTCACTTGCCAGGAAATCTGCCTCACCTTGGGAGACACCTCCCAGTCCAGTTGCATCATCAGCCAGGTCAGTTCAAGAACCCCACCCCATCAGCCACTTCTCAGAGGCTGACTTCATTTGCCTCCAGGAAATGCTTTTGCTGCATTTTTTGACCCAAATCTCATTACAATTCCCACAACCCAACCTGCTCAAAGCATGTAATGGCCTCTAAGGCATTCAAATAAATCCTGCCTCTCTACTACTTACCACCGCCGGGGTGACTTTGGGCAGGTTACTTTACCTCTCAGAGCCTTTTACTTCCTCATCAGCAAGTTGGAAACGACAGTATTGTCTACTGTCATGAATAAGGTTGTTGTGAGGGTTGAAATGAATGAAAGTGAACAGTGTTTGCCATGCCTAGCCTGTGGCAGGAGTTAAGAAAATGGAAGGCATCCATTAGAATTCACAACCCAGGACAAAGGCCTGGGGAGAGGATGGACGGGTGGATAGGGCGGGGGTGGGGGTGTGGCCAGAATGAGGGGATGTCCAGAGAACTGACAGAAGGCTCACTTAAGATCAAGCCACCAGGGTCAAGAGAGGCCAAGCTGATGGCCCCTGCCCTAATCGGTGCTCTCACTGCCCCCAGATGAAGTGCCACCCATCCAGCAACCCCCGAGGAAGCCACCACAAGACCCTGAACTCAGGTACCTCAAGGCAAAGCAGGGAGGGGATGAGCTCTGGGACAGTGGTGGAAGGGGACCCCCTGAGGAGTACATCTTGCTCATAAGCACCCAATTCCTTGGGGAGCTCAGGAAGGAGAAAGCCCTCCAGCCACAGCAGTTGCTGCCTGTGGACCCTAAGGCCCTGAAGCAGATCCGGAAGGCGGAGAAAGCCGAGAAGGAGTTCCGGAAGAAGTTCAAGGTGTGGACACCAAGCTACTCAAGAGCCCTGGGGAGAGGGGGCAGGGGGGCTGGGCTCAGTCCCCTTGACCAAGGCCCCTGGGGTCGGGGTGGGAAGCCAGCATAGCCACAGATCTAACATGCCTCTCCCCAGTTTGAGGGGGAGATCGTGATTCAGACAAGGATGATGATTGACCCCAATGCCAAGACACGCCGTGGGGGTGGCAAGCACCTGGGGATCCGGCGTGGAGAGATCCTGGAGGTGATTGAGTTCACCAACAAGGAGGAGATGCTCTGCCGGGACACCAAGGGCAAGTGTGAGTGAGCTGGGCTGGCTGCCCTGGGGAGACAGGCCCTGCCCTGCCCAGCCAAGAATTCACCCATGCCTACTCTTTTTGCAGATGGCTATGTGCCCAGAATAGCACTGCTGCCCCTGTGAGTGCTGCTGTGATTTGCAGGGTGAGGGGGTAGGGAGGGTTAATGGACCCAGGGGTGATCTCTGCTGACCCAACTGTGTTCTCCACTAGGGAAACAGAGGTGTATGACGATGTGGCCTTCCTGGGTATGTAGATGTTCTGGGCAGGTTGGAGAAAACCCCACTTCCAGCACGGGGCTGCTTGCTATCTGCTTATGAGGAATCACTGGAATTTGCCTTTCCTTTTCTGCAGACCCTCTAGAAGGCCAACCATTCCCTCGAGGACGGTAAGATCAGCAGGTGTGTGGACCCAGGACAACTCACCAGCCCAACCACCCACTAACCCAGGAATCCTGGATCCCAGCTTGAAAGTCAAAGAACTGCCAAGGCTGCCCTGGCTGGGTAGCTCAGTTGGTTAGAACATTGTCTTGGAATACCAATGCTGCAGGTTCAACCCCCTGGTTGCACATACAAGCAGCAGCAACCAGTGAATGCAACTCATAACTAAGTGAGACAACAAAATCAATGTACTCTCTTGCCAATCAATAAATAAAAAGAAATGCCAAGGCTCACACCTGACCATGTACATGAACCATAGAGCCCCTTTAAAATGATCACTGCTACTTTTCTTTCCCTCCCAACTGGCACACAGTAGAGCCATGATCAAACACTTGGGGGTCTTTGGGGTTGACCCCATCCTTCATGTTCTCACCCCTCAGGGATAAAAGCCAGGAAGGAGAAAAGTGTGGCAGGGAGAGAGCAGCAAGAAAACTAGTACCCTGCTAGACTTGAAGGTTTGAGTGTCTGTGTGATCAGATCTCCATCAGCATCCAGCCATGGTGGAGAGGGACACATGAATACAGTGACCAGCTGCAAACAACTGCCTAGCCCAAGTGGACCTATGTATGAGGTCACATTTTAGCAGTGGTAGGGGGACAGGGAGGCAGGGGAACCCAGTTCTGACAGAGCCCAGGTATCAAGTTCAGCCTGAACCTCTGTAGGACTAAACATGCTCAGAAGCTCACACCCTGCATGGTTTTACCAAAGAAAAGCTGCTTTGAACTGAATATTTGTCCCTCGCATCCCTCCACCCTGATTCCCAATGTCCAATTTGAGAGGCAATTAGGTCTACTAAAACCCTTATAAAGGCAGCCCATCTTGACCTCGGACTTCCCAGGCTCCAGACTGTGAGAAATTAATCTCTGTTGTTTATAAACCACCCAGCTTGCAGTACTTTTGTTACAGCATCCAGGGCAGACTAAGACAGAAGCCAACCTAGAAATGGACCTGATGCAGTGTCTGTGCCCCTCACAGAAACTGCACAGAAAGGGGACTTGGACGGCTTTCAGGACAGCTAACAGTCAAGTGCTCCATCATCAGCACAAGGGATTCAAATTCACTCAGGATTCATATTCCACTGAGTTAGTTCCTAATTCGGCAGGGCACACAGCCAAGGAAGAATGGCGATAAGGCTCTTGGTGCTCATAGCTCTGAGGGCAGAAAGGATATGAGTTGTTTCTTGCCCCCAACCCTCGGGTGGTGGCCCCACAACACACACAAAAAAGCAAGCAGCTTTCAGGAACTGGTATTTATTATCAAAGTCATATTTGATGTCAACAAGATGCCACAACTACAAAAAAAATTGCGCACATTGCAATCTCAATGCAAACAGTCAAATGGAACCCCAATCATTAAAAAAGTAATTCAAATTACCCCAAAAAGCAACTGAATTTTTTAAACATCTTTATACATCCAGCCAACAAATTAAAATGGTTAACAAGAAAAAAATACAAATTCAGAGGTCTGGTATTGATGTTTAAAAAAGGCAACCGCTTAAGCATTTCTATCAATTCGAACGTCAATCTCTCGGCCACTCAGCTTCATCCCATTCATCATCCGGCAGGCTCTCTCAGCCACCTCTGGCGACTCAAACTTAACCACACCGCACCCCTTGGACTTCCCATTCTCCATCTTGATGTCAGCATACAGCACGTGGCCTGGGCACAGAGAGGAAAGAAGAGACCACAACTCATCAGGCAAACCAGAGCTCAGCCTCAGTCTGGGCTCCACTCAGTCCAAATCACCTGTGAATTTTGGCTTAGTTAACAGGGAGAGTGGCCCCGGTGCCTGGTGCATGAACGCCCAAGAACACAGTGGCTGGGACCCAGCTACAACAGCTCTCAACCCAATTGCCATTCTTCTGCCAACAGGTCAACAATCTGACAAGCCCCATGATAAGCCTTACTGACAGCTACAAATGCAGGACTTCTACACTCTGAAGAACTGACCAACAAAAGGGGGAGGGTTGCGTGAATCCAACTTTATATGCAAATTTTTACAGAGGCTTCATTTTCAATATACCACACCAACGCATTTACAAGGCCATCACCAATATGATGGACACTCTGCACTGTCCAAATATAAGCTGTGTAATAATTAGAAAGCAGTTTCAGATATTCAAGCACTGATTAAGTATCCCAGTATGTGTCAAGCACTGTGGAAACAAATGCACAGAAGAGCCACAGAAACACAAGGCTTTACACTTCACTGACTGCAAGGACATGACAGTGTAGCCAGTGCTAGGGAACTACAACTCCAGAGCATCCTAAATCAACATCTTGGAGGGCTTCTCAGGGGAAAGTTCTGAAATTAGAGTTAAATTCAAGAGGAAGATTTGCTGATAACAGTTCTCAACAGAACACTTGTGGAGAACAGCACTTGCAACTCAGGATTCAGAAAAAGAAGAAAGATGAATGCAGACTAAGGGACCGAGTTGTAAAAGGGCCAAAAGTGTGGACTTTTCTCTTGTCCAAGAGTCACTTCCACATATCTGAGGCCAGGGGGAGTTGCATGATCCACTCTGACTTTTCAGAGTATCTACCACAATGTGGAAACTAAGGAGTGGGGAGAGAGGTCAAAAAGGCAGGCTATGTCTCAATAGCTGACCTGAGAGAACCAGGACAAGCAGCAACCGTGGTGAAATCTGAGCAACTACTGAAATAGGAAATGAGAATACCACGGAAGCTTCGATCCAGCAAACCACCTGGACTCCAGCTTAGGGGTTGGCCTCCACTTGACATGGTAAAAGAAGAGAAGTAGTAGGGGTGAGGGATGGGGGTTCACCCACAGACAACTTAACTTCCTTTCAGCCACAAAGTGAGCCTTCCAGAATGGTTGCCTGGTGTGACCAGGTGGTGTGCCAGGAAACCACAATCACAGACCCTTAGTCTCATACACACAAGCTACTGTGTACCCAGAGCCTGCAAAGCCAGACCATGGGACCTGCTGGGCAAGTGCTCTTTGGGGCATAACCCAAGTAGGTACTGTGGTGGAAAGTAACCTTATCTCATTGTCCCAGATGTATTCATTTTATTTAGGTTTGTTACTTAGAAGCCATGTGACCTTGGGCACGTGACTTTGCCAGACTCATCTGTAAAATGGGGAAACTCTACCTCCTTTCAAAAACTGTAAAAGGAGAAAAAACGTTAAGGATGAAATGAGAACACACGTGAAAAGTATCTGACACAGCCCTGGTTAGTGTGGCTCAATGGATTGGGTGCCAGCCTACAAACTAAAGGGTTGCTGGTTCAATTCCCAGTCAGGGCACATGTCTGGGTTGCAGGCCAGGTCCCCAGTAGGGGGCACACAAGAGGCAACCACACACTGATGTCTGTCTGTCTGTCTGTCTGTCTTTCTCTCTCTCCCCCCTTCTCCTCTTTCTAAAAATGAATAAAATTAATTTTAAAAAATCTGACACATAACAGGAAACTCAATAACCTGCTTGAATAGTTGCATAGGCAGAAAAATGGCAACTCCCATCAGCCCTCTAGAGTAATAGAAAGTGGCTAAGACTAGGATGGAAGGTTCACTGCATAACTCAAATGCATTATCAACAAGCTAAGATTTCTGAAGCCACAATATTTGGAAGCACCTAGAAAGCCTTTCTCAAACACTTACCACATTCGTTGAATTTGTCCTTTAGCATCTTCCAAGTAAAATCAAATGGGAGCTAAGGGGAAAAAAGAGACTGATGAGTGATTCAACCAAATCCTAATACATAAACATCATCATTTAATGTAAAGGTGACTTAAAAGGAATTCCTGTGACACAGAGAAACTGGCTGACCTTCAAACAGGTATCAACAGAACCAAACAAGTTGGTCTGGAATGGGATTCTAAACCAGCATACCAAATGCTGGTATTCACTCCCTTGTGGCTTTCTCTGTCCATGGGAGCATCATACAGAGAACAGAATGTATAGCTGCCTGTGGTTCAGGCCACAGAACCACAGTACAGTAGCTAAGGGAGGTCAATTTGGCACAAATAATTTTTTCCCTCTGTATTGCCATGCTAAGGTTTAGTAGCTCTTTAAGCCAAGGGATCAATCAAGAAACTAGAGTTATTGCCCTGGCTGGTGTGGCTCAGTGGACTGAGTGCCAGATTGTGAACCCAAGGATCGCTGGTTAGCTTCCTGGTCGGGGAATATGCCTGGGTTGCACGGACCAGGTCCCCAGTTGGCAGTGTGCAAGAGGTAACCAACCAATGTATCTCTGACACATTGATGTTTCTCACCCTCTCCTTCTCCCTCCCTTTCCCTCTCTATAAAAATAAAAATTAAAAAAAAAAAAATCTTAAAAAGAAAAGAAACTAGAGTTCTCGACCCTGGATGGGTGGCTCTTTGGTTAGAGCATTGTCCCAATATGCCAAGGTTGTGGGTTTAAGCACATACAAGAATCAACCAATGAATGTATAAATCAATGGAACAAACTGATGTTTCTATGATTCCCCCCTTCCTTTCTAAAATCAACAAATTAAAAAAAAAGAAACTATAGAGTTCTTTAGCTCACTGTTCCATCTAGCAGCCAGAGTAGCCCAGTGGGTTTACAGAACCCACTATTATTGCTGCATAGTACTGTTGGCTCTCACATTCCCATATCCTACCAGAACTAAACTCTGGGGAGATTTACAAGGTAGACTTGCATGCCACTCAGCTCCTTTTCTGAGGATATGACCTCTGACTCTGACTTGCCACCATTCAGTCCCACCCACTACCTATCTCGCCCCTCCCTTTGTGCATACCACCGAGAGGTTCCTGAAGATCCACTTACATTTCTCACAAATATCTGGCAGGCCTTCCTGGCCACCCCTGGAGCATGGCCTCCAGCTCCACCAAAGGAACCTGCGAAGCTTCCTCCAAAGTTGCCACGTTCCATCTCGATGGCACGGTCAAAGCTGGCACTGCCGCCGCCACCCATGGCCAGGCCCATGCGCTCAATGCCAGCGCCCAAGGCAGGGCCCATGGCAGGACCCATGCGCTCCAGGCTATTGGCGCCCATGCGCTCCAGGCCCATGCGCTCGAGACTGTTGGCGCCCATTCGTTCCAGGCC